ATGGTGCAACAGAGATACTACTGCAAGGACCGCATGGTCTGTGCAAACTCGTGAAGAAATACATTGTCATATTTTACATATAATGGAAAGGTAGACCTTACTTGTAGTTAGATACACAAGCTAAAAAATATAAACTGAATAGTATTATTTACTCTGCCAGTTTTCAGAGACAAATACAGAACAGAAGGCTTTATCACCAACATGCTCTCTACACCTAAGTCTGCTTTTCCAGACAAGCTGGTCTCTGCACAGCTTAAAATAAGCTGTGTGCCAGCAGATCAGAACGCACAGAGTGACCAACTGAGTGGTCACCCACTAACAAATCTAATATATCTAGTCCGTTCACAATCCTCTCTCTCTCCTTATGTCTTAAGCACATATTAGATATGAGAGTTACCCTTTTTTTTTTAATTAAGAAGAGGATTGGTTGAAACAGAGTTTCAAGCATACTTATTTCAAAAATGCCTCAGAAAGAAAATGAAACCACATGCTCTTTACACTTATTGGAAGAACTCTACTATACTACCAAATGCTTAATAGTTTATCACTGGCCTGCCCTATTGGTCTTCAAATTGTCACAATGAGTAATCCTTCCTGTAGTTTCAGAAAAAAAAAAAAACAACACCCCAAACATCTCCCTGTTAAATTTTTAAGAATAGATAGAATAAATGACCTTACTACATTGTGCAGAAAGCTTGCAAAAGACATTTGTAAGCCTTCAAGAAAGTGTTTTTTATTCAGATATGCATGACCTGTTAGTCAGCTCCTCTGCTGTAATAAGTCTATTTCAATTTTCATTTACAGATGAAAGCAGAGACTTTTAACCAGCTCTAGAATGTAGTACCAAGAACAAATAATAAAAACAGTTCCAGCAAATAAGTACTGATATACAAGGAATTGACAAAACTCTAGAACAAAGGAATACTAAACTCCTCCCCTTCCTTCACTTTCTTCATAAATGCCAATAAAAATACACTCTGTTGCACACTCAAATGGCCAGACAAGCTAGTTCACAGCAGAGTAGAACAGTTTTACCACATGTAAAATAGTACCACCTGCCCTGATCCTTTTCTTCTCCGAGGAAGGAAGCTCTCTTCTAAAACTGAAAGCCTCACTCCCTTAATTCAGAGTTCAGCTTTAACAGCTTCACTGCTACTTCAACTGTAAGCATGAGAGAGGAAAAGCACCAGTTTTAAGCAGGCAGATCACCAGATCATTCAGATCCCATATGAACATGAGATTAGACAGGCAGTCATCTTTTCCACAGACACTCAGACTATTTTGTATACAGTTACAATTCAGAGCATATTAATTCAAAGCAAAAAAGAAGTATTTCCAAGTACACATCCTCTGGGCTCAATGGGTCTCCATCAGTTCCACTGATGGCCAGTCCCACTTTATGAAGTCAGCAGGCTAAATATACTGTGTGATAAATACACTTTCAGTGCTTGGGTACAATCAGAAAAAATAACCCGCAGTAATTTCACTGGCAACGTAACCAGCTCACCTCATCGTCACTGTCTGATGTCTCAGAGTCTGAAGATGCTGTAGGTTTGCTCACAGGAGGCTCCTTTTCTTCAGAGTCACTGCGTTTCCGTTTGGCCAACGACAAGAGCTCCTGGTGTGAAAAAACAGACATTTATTTTAAAATGTTGTAATTAGTTTTACCAATCCAGGTCAATGCACATGCACCTTCTCTGTGATATCCGAGCACATCCCAGCAACATGATTATCCCCACTGACTAAGGAACAGAGTCTACTTACGTTTCATAAATATATATTTACACATAAACACACACACAGAATTTTAAGACATCTAGATGACACAAAAGCATTTTGAGGATTGCAAGCTATAAGAAGTAAATACTGCTACCAATACTTTATTGGTATAATTCATTTATACCAATACTTTATTGGTATAAATGAACTACTTTCAGAGTCATGTCCAGGTCTATTTGGACTGGGTAATAATTCAAAACCACACTGACTACATTGTGTAGCATTAACCCAAAAAGCCAAATATCACTAGAGAGCAGCTCCTTCAAAACCAAGAAGATGTTTGCAATTGTACACTTTAAAAGGAAAATACTTTAGGCATCAGGGTTGATAATATTTAGCCAGTCTGTTCCATTCCTTGTCACTGTCCCTACACGCCACAATGTACTTAAAGCTTTGGACAGACACAGAGCAGGCATGAAGCTCAAAGCCTGCAAAACTAAGTAGAGCTGTTCCTGTCCAAAGGAAGCACTTTCAAAGGCAACACACACCAGCACAAAAAACTAAATGGTTCTCAGATAATCTCATATCTGCTGTTCATAGCTGGTTCAGATGACAGAAGCGGTAGTACAAACCAAACATACCTGAAGCTGCATTACTGTCTTTGTAGACCATGACACAATTTATTTTTGAAAACATTGCTCTGGGGCTGATGAACCTTAGGTGTGAGTAGAAATGCAGTCACACCAACTTCTGCAGTCTTGGGAAGTCAATATTAGATTGGTTTGCATTAGTTTCACAACTGGAAGATTATCTCCACAGCAAACTGATTACAATTTAGTACCTCAAATGAGAACATAAACACTGCAGAAACTGATAGCCTAGGCTACTTACCAACAAAGAAACTTTCCATTAGTAATAGCATTTCACAAACCTTTCTCTGATGAAGTCATGCAACATCAACAGAGCACATTTGTACATTTAACAGTTTTCTTCAGGAAGCTCCTGATAGTTGCTACAATCTTCTCTAGAATTTCTCTGTCACAACTGTCTCTAAGTAGTCTTTCAACCCAGATTACAGCCCTGGATGATATAGTGGCATATTTACCACTACTTTTATTCTTTATACCTTTCTATTCTTTCCTTCTTTTTACCCACGTTCTGTTTTCCAAGATACTATATTAGAAAGGCTCCTACTCCTGTGATTCAACAAGCCTAGATTGCCAAGGGAAGCTATTAAACATTTAACCTACAGGGGCCTCACTCCGTATGCTCTCATCGTTAAATCAGACCACAGAAACGTTGCTTCCCTGCTACCTAATCATCCTTGCACATACCTATCCCTGCTGTTATAGTTGCAACAAACAGCTCAGCGGAGGAGGAAGCACCTACTACTCAGGTACAGCTGCAGATGCGTGCTTCCAGTGAACAATGGAACAGATACAAAACCAGGCAGCTACTCCTGCCGCCATCATTCTGATTGCCTGATCTAGGCTAGAACTAGTCCAACTCCTTCTGTTTTCAAGCTCTGAAGAAACTACCAAACTAATATACTAGTGGTGAGATGCTGGTAGCTCTAAAGACTCTAGAGGCATGCAAGATCAACAACATCAGGACAAGCTCAGCTCCAGTATATTTGTCTAAAAGAATGTCCGATTTGATTTCTTTGAAGCTCCAAGCCGCAAAACTATTTTTGAGTGTTTGGGAAGGTTTTGTATCGCAACATAGCAACAGCTTCTATATTAAAAGCCCTGAAGGTCCAGCACATAAATTACATCAGATGTGTAGGTCTCACCGTATGTAACCAGCCAAACTTCAATCCGGAGTGAGCACTGCCATACCAGTCCTGACACACTTCACCTATGTCTTTATTTACCACTCGAATCACATCAGCAACACTTGCTACACCGAAAGAGCAGTCTTTGAAAGCAGCCCCCTCCAAAGACCCTTCGCAGCCTGACACGCTCAAACTGACACCAGGCTTCCAATCCCAGGGGAAGCCCTGATGTTAAATAAATACTCCCCCCCTCGTTATATTCACAAGCTCCTAACTCCTCCACGCATTTTCCCACCGACGCAGCTCCCCACACCACAGCCACGCGATTGAGGAGGGAGCGATAATCACGCGTGAACCAAGCGCCCCCCCTCCCACCCCCCCGAAGCCCACCTGCCCCGAGGGGCTCACCGGCAGCCGGGGACCTGACACGCTGCTCTCCCGGCGGGCGAAAGCAGCACAGAAAAGTTGCCCGGCCCTTCGGGCCTTTATCCCCACTACCCGAGGGGCGACGACCACCGGTGCCCGGGCCCCGTTGCCTTCCCCTCCCTCCCCCCCCCGCCTCTCCTCAGGGCCAAACCGCCCCGGGAGCACCCCCCCTCCGAGCGGCCAAGAGCCCCCAACCCCCGCCAAGGCGGGCCGCCTGCCAGGGGCGGGCCAGGCACCCGCCGGAGGGGAGCGGGTTTATCTCCACGAAGGCCGCGGGGGCCCCGCATCGGAATGAGGAGAAGAAGAGCAACGGCGGCGGCGCGCAACCCCCACCCCGGGGCGCGAGTGAGGGAAGGAGGGATGGCGGCGCCCAGCCCTGAGCGGGCCGGAGATCCCAGGCCCCGCGTCCGGGCCGGGCCTCCCCCTCGCACCTGATCTAGGTTCTCCTCGCTACCACTATCCTCAGTATCGGAGTCGATAAGGACGCGGCCTTTCCGCTTCTTCACCATGGCGGAGCCGGCTTATTTCTTTGCGCTGCCTGCCGCCCGCCCCCCCCCCCCCACCCCGGCGGCGGCGGCGGCGGCGGCGCGGCGCTCCCAGCGGCCCGGCCTGCCCCGCGCCGCCCGCCCGCCCGGGACACAAAGGGCACCGCGCATGCGCACCGCGCCGGGGCGGGAAGAGGGGCGGGGCCGCCGCCCTTCAGGGGCGAAGAGGAGGAGAAGAGAGAAGGCGGCTGCCGCTACCCTCCCCTCGCCCCTTTCCCCTCACGGGCCGTTCGCCCGCCCTCAGCTGTGCTCCTTCGCGCTGCCCCGCCGACACGTTCCTCACAAGCAGGCATTCTTCTCGCCCCCCCCCCCCCCCATCCTCCCCCCCAGCCTTTCTTTAAACGCCACGCTGCTGGCGAATTAAGGCGCTCGGCACCGTGCCGCGGCCTCTCGGCGCAGCGGGAAGGGGTGACCTGCCGCCGGTGAGGGGCGGGAGCGCGGCGGTGGCCGCCGGCGGAACCTGAGCGGCGCGGTGCGTGTTCCCCTGCCGGGCCCGGAAGCGGCGGGACGCGCCGGTGAGGGCGGGAAGGTGAGGCGGCTCGGTCGCGGGTGGCGAGGCGGCCCGTGAGCGCTCGGGTGCCGCGGCCCTCGCCTCGCCTCGCCTCGCCTCTGCCCTCGGGGCCCGGGGAGGGCGGGCGGGACCGGGGCCCGGGGCCCAGGTCGCTGCGAGGCGCCGGGCGAGGCCGCCGCTGGCAGCCGAGGGGGGACCCGCATCGGGCAAATGGAACATTTCTTAAATCGTGCCGTTTCTTCCTTCCTGGTGCTTGGAAGGAACAAGGGCGAGTCTGTACTGAGCGGGGCTGCGCTGGCTGCGGGCTGCAGCTTTTCCTTTCCGCCGGTTTTGCGTTGTGTCGGGGCGGGTTTGCCGCGCGGGGCGTTCCTTTTTTAGGAACTTGCCTCCTGTCTTCCTGGGTATGCGGTCGGGAAAATGTGAATTATTTCCACCCAGTTTTAGTCCACGGTGCATAATTTGTTGTATGAGAATAACAGTAGTAAAGGAAGGTATGTGGCATATTGAGAATATATGTGGAGCGACTGGCTGCATTCTTAAAAGCTTGGAGAAGAGAACTGATTTGACGTTGCTTTAAGACTTATTCTGTGGGGAAGAAAAATAATTAATACCTTCCCCCCCCCGCCCCCCAAACCAGGCAACTTGTCTGACTAATTTTACAAGTCAGAGATAATAGCCTCTGTACAGAGCATTGAACGTTAAGGCTCTCCCTTATAAATTGCAGAATAGCAATATGTCATAGCTGTTCCTACCAGCAGTGATGCAGAGAGAAGCAAAGACAAGATTTTCAGAGTTTTACCAAAGCGTTTTAAAAAAATTCCTATTGAATTGCAGTCCTTTGTGTTAAATTCTCTGGTCTTCGCAAACCTCCCTAAAGTAATCCTAAAGCAGATACGGTGAGGGGCCAAGGGGCTGGCTGACTTATGGAAGAAGCACGTAGTGCGGCTGCCGTAGGACTTCATAGCTGAAAGGTCTTGTCATCTGTGACTGTCAGATGAGGCTGTCGTGCTGGTCCATATGGCAGCAGGGTCTACCTGTTAGGCATTGGTGATTTTCTTGCGGGGAGTAGTACTTTATACTTGTATAGATGCCATCTTTTAGAAACCTCCTTCTTGAGGTTGCTTTTGCAGGTGTTACTTATCGTACCTAAACTTACAGTGGAAGAGATGAACAAGAATTGCTTTTTTCTATTTTCAGTTTTATTTGAAGCGTTTTACTTAGCTTTTCTTATCCGCATGGGTATTTCACATCACAGAACATAGAGTGGAGGTCATTAAGTAAACTAGAACTCTGAGGAAGTGTAATACTTGGGGTTTTTTTATTTCTTTTTCCGATGCCTTAGATTTCTAGTTAATAGCGGTTTTAAAAATTAAGAAGTTTTACAAGCATCCTGTATGTAATTTTTTGAATCTTTTCTCTTTTTCATTAAAGGTGGAGATAAACTAAAGGTGGAGGTAACTAAAGTAAGATAGCTCTGGATACTGGTTTTGTTGTTAAATTCATTTCAAACCCATTAATTACCTTACTGGAAGTGAATTCTTCAAGTTTACCAATATGGCTCTGACTATGACATCGCTGAACAGTGCTTACTTATGTGGTAGATGCTGCAGGCACAAAGCTTTGCCCCCTTTACTTGGACTTCTCCTCGGCAATTCCATGTCAAAATTGTACAGCAGCTACAAGAGGCCAGGCTCACAGCCTGAAAAAAAAACGTCTTGGCGAAATACCGATTTCAGCTTTAAGAAGGCCATTGGTGTCTTAACGACTCAGCTAAGCATGCTGATGAAGGAGACCAGAGATCACTTAACAGGACCTAGAGGCCATTCATTTGATCAGTACCTGTTGGAACAGACAAGGGTGTTGTGGGAGTTTCGAAGCCAAGAAGATTTAAATAAATGGGTTATTTCTTCTGATGTAGAGATTGGAGGGAAAAGTGAAGTTTACCTCAAATTGGGTAGGAATAACCAGGCTGCTCTGCTGTATGGAACCCTCAATACAGAAGTACCTCGTGATGGGGAGACAAAATACAGTGGATATTGTAGTATGAGATCTAAACCACTAGTGGTAAGTACAGCTACGTGCTTACATTGCTTCTGTTACTTAATTGGAGAGCATTTTTGTGTAATCCCAGTGACAGCACGTGGGCTGTTGTTTACTGCGGTTGAAACCGATCACTTTCAGGAGTATTAGATACTCCTTCAGGGATGTAACTGCTGCTGTGTCCTTCGACCTGGAAGAAACTTGAACTTTCTATTGGATTCTGTTTTCCTTTCTTAGAAAAGGAATAATATATGTTTGATGATTTACTTATGTAGAGTAGGGCATCCCCTCAATAAGACAGCCCTGCTTGCAGCCTCCTTGCAAATGAAGGATCTGTAATGAACTTTTATAGCCAAAATTGGTGTCATTAAAATAGATGTGTCTCTAAAGTTGAAGTTAATTGCATGTGTCATAAGGACAAATTTTCTGGGCTTTAACTTGGCCTATTCATCAAACTTGGTTTAGGTGAATGAGCTCATCTTTCCTCCTCACAGGAACAGAAAAATAATGCTTTGAAATGTGCTTTTTAAAGGTGTGACTCTTACTGTGCATCAGAAAAAGTGAGACACAAATCTTTGGTAGCTCAGGATTGAGCAAAACAGAACCAGAAATGGATGTGCTCATTATTGATACTGATTGTTTCATTCCTTATTTTTAAGCACCTTTAAAGGCAAAGGAACGTTTTGACTCAGTGTATAAAATGTTTAACTTTTTAGTCTGTTCTATTATTTGTGACTTGGCACAAATACATAGGTAAAATCTTTTCTGGGCCAGAAACTTGGAGAGCAGAGAATAAGAGTAAGCAAAACCAGTGGGCAAGTGAGAGGCAGATCAACACTGTTTAAAATGGTGATGCTGGCTCGGTCAGAGGAATGGAACAACAAGTTGAATCTCACCTGAGTTAAATTCCCAGGATGGCTTCTGACTTGTGCAAATGTGATTCAAACTTTCACCTCCTAATTCTGAAGTAGTAGAGTGTATCAGTCCATCTTTATAGTGCAGTTTGAAATCAGAGGGTGAAAACATAAAAACAAAGGCTCTTCTTTGTTTAAGTAAAAAGGCTGAGAACTGAAAAAAACATAAAATCAAGTAGCCACAAGCCTTGTATTAAGGTATTGATGATCTACACATCCTATTACTTATCAGATGAGTTGGTAGGAGGACAGTTGATGGGTAGCCATAGTAGTGTTGTAAAATAAAGGGGAAACCTCTGAATTTCTGATGCTAATTCTGTTTTGGTTTCAGCAGTTCTAGGCAAGAACAGATCTGACCCCTGCCCCCCATTGCTCCATGTGACGGATTCTTGAATCTGCCTTTGTGCAAGTCACAACACCGGGACTCTTAAGATCTTTGGAAAAAAATGCAGGCGAGAATTAAACATGCTTGCAGCCACATCTCTGTGCACAGTTGATGGCAAAAAGTGTTGGAAAACATGAAATGCTTCCAGTGCTTATATCAGCCTTCAATAAGGGAAGTTATCACAGGGGATAAATCATCCCACTTCCTCAATTTCTTGTAATCACCTCTGAATAATCTAGTACTGACCGCAGAATATTAAACTCAATGAACTACTTCAAACTTAATGAACTGCGTAACTACTCATCCATTCATCCATCACTATAGCATTTGTTTACTTGCCTGGCAGGGAATTTGGTCCTAGGAAGGAGGTCCGATTGCTGATAGTTACAAGATTGTGGTTTATAATTAAAGCACGAGTCCTCAGAGTGATAATAGTGCAATTTGTGGACTCTAATCCAATGCTGAAGGAAATTCAGTGGTATCAGCAACTAGTATGATGAAAGAGTAACCCAGTTTTCACTGTGTCACAGTAGCTATTACTTGATGTAATGATGAGGGCAGTGATCAAAGCAATAGTGCTATGTTCTTTGTAATGGAAGTTTCCCTTTATTAAGGAGGAATAATTCTATTTATTAATAATTTGTAGGGATCTTTTGCTAGGAAGAAGTACTATGACTGGTCAAACTTCAACAGTCTGTATTTACGTGTCCGTGGCGATGGCAGACCCTGGATGGTAAACATTTATACAGACCCTTACTTCTCTCATCAAAAGGATGATCTCTACAACTACTTCATGTTCACACGAGGAGGCCCCTACTGGGAGGAAATAAAGGTGAACTAATGAGTCTTTCAAACTAACGAGACTGTCTTGGGGCCCCGGCCATAGCTCTGTGGAGTCACAGTCCGTTGCTACTGCTGACTGTTCAACAACATTCTGTTATATAGAGATATATAACACAACACTATGTTACATATATGTATATCCATGTACAACAGGCACGTGCCTTTGGCTGGGGAGTTCCCCAAACTGGAAATCCCAGGACTGGGGGAGGGAAAGATTTGGTCCACTACGCTAGCTATTACTGGAGTAATGGAACAGATAGAGCCATTGAATCTTAGCTGGCATTGCCAGGAATATTCTCTGCAATAACTATTTTGTCTGTAGTACAAATGGATGTAGGCAGGTGTAGGATTTGTACCCTGCGACAGGATTTGCTTTACTTGCAGAGACGCAGAGGTGTGGTTTGTCATTTACAGCCTTTGAATCTGTGGCACAAATTAATACTTGTAAGAAATTGGAGTTATGGCTCTTTTGTGATGAAACTTGGGGAGCTTTTGTAATTTGCTGCTGACCAACGTTAAGGAGGCTTACACATCCTTACGAATTGGCATGAAGCGCTTCCTAATCCCGTTGTGCAGTCGTATGAGAAGAGCCCGCTGTTTCACAGAGGAGGAGTCAGGAGGATGAAGATTAGTGTGCCTCTGCTGGCTGGCACCTCGCCCCCACCAGCCAACCCTCCTGTTTCCTTATCTCTTATCAGAGCCCCTCCTCCTTACTGCTCCCGCTGCATTCAAAGTCATTTTTGTATTATCCTGAACGGCTTTGCTGGAGTACTGATGTCCCGGTGTGAAGTTTGCGTTGGCTTGGGCCCAGACGAGCTGTTGATACACATGCCTGCTAGACTTCCCATTAACTTCTATTTTATGGTGACACGTTATTGGGAGGAGACATTCGCGATGTAAACAGCCACCCGCGGCGCTGCAGCCTCTGGCCGTGTCCCCTGTTGGCTACAAACGGCCGCCACGGGCCAGCGTGGGCCTGGGGCTGGCTGCAGGTGACCCTTTGGTGGGCCAGCGTGGCCCGTTTCTCTCTGCTGGCTCCGTGTACCCAACCAGTGCTGGCACCGGGTGTAGCAGAGTGTTATTTCATTTACTAAGGCAGGCTTTTTTTTTTTCCCTTACGTTTTTATTTTATGTACTCGTGACACTAAAGTCTGGGTTTTGTTTTGTTTCTGTCAGATTCCATTCTCCAAATTCTTTTTCTCCAGCCGGGGAAGAGTCCAGGACGACCAGCATCCTATCTGGTTAGACAAGGCAAGTTTTCAACAGGCTTTATCTGTCTGAAATTCCCTTTAAGATTATATTGTCATGATATAGATAACTCACAAATCCTTTAATGTTTGTGAATTTGAAATTGAAGGGCCTCTTCTTGTTACAGGGTACTTATTCCTGTGTGATTGCCTTTGCATTTAAATTATCCTACTTTGTGGTGGCAGTGTCAGTTTACTTCAAAGGAGCTCCAAAAATATTTTTAAGAGATCTATATTACCAAGGAACAACTCACAACTTGCTTGGCTTTTCAAAAAAAAAAAAAAACCCAAGAAAAATTTTTTTCTTTCAAGGAATGATCAAAGTGACTTAAGAAATCTAAAATGCCAGTTGGCACAGTACTGCCAAAAATAATAAAAGTATCATAAACTTTCCTCCTGACAGAACGTCAGGGATATCACGTGGTGAGATTTTATTTGAGGATGTACTGTATCAGTGACCATGATGGTGAGCAGTGCACTGATGTATTCATAAGCTCTTTTTAATTTTTTTTTTTTCAGGCTTTGTAGTCTAAATATTAAGTAAGTGTGTTGAGTATTTTTTTCATTTTATTCCTGCAAATAAGTAAACTAATTCACAAGAGGAATGATGTTGGAAAAAATTGTTTCTGTACCTTTTTTTTGTTTATCAGTGCCCTACTGTACGTAATTGAGGGCAGCTTAATACCTAGTGACTACCAAAAGGAAGTGTTAGAAATATATATTTACAAATTTAAAAAAAAAAAAAAAAAAAAAAAAAAAAAGGAAAAATTAGAGGGCAATTCAGTGAATGGCAACATGAAAACAATCTGGTTTAAAACGGAAGTTGAGACTGTAGAAGGCAAGTATGAATGATACGAAGAAGGTGGATCAACTACAAGAAAAAATATGCTTTATGGAAGAAAGTTGTTATAAAAAGCCTGTGTTTAAATATAGGCACCGAAGAATTTATTGGGATTTAGAATATACAGTCATTCAAAATGGTAAATGAAAACATGAAGTTGTATATGGGGTATTTAAAAATATTTACTTGATCTAAGCATCCTCTGCTTAACAAGGAATGAAAATTATCTTACGCTTAGTATTTCGCAGTAAGAACAATGCACTTGCACATAACATGAAGTGTAATTTCACCAATGTATTTTAAAGAAACCTAAAAATAGGGGAAGTGCTGTGAAGGCAATTAAAGAAATCGTGATGAAAGGCCTTGGTCCCTTATGGTACTCCTGTAGGTTTTCCCAGGACCCAGGAAAGGCACTGTGAAACAGGAGTAAGGCGGCTGGAAATGGCCGGTGTACTGCGGGCTCACCGAGGAATGGGCTCTCCAGAGCAGGGTTTGGGTGGCTCCTGCCCTCACCTCTACAATACGAACCAGGCAGACGGAGCTTTGGAACCTCTCCAGGCCCCACAGGGCGAGGGGCTGCTGTAGAGCCCTCTTCTGCTGGGGGGGGGGGGGGGCATTTAGAACAGGAAAAGGATCTGAATGTCAGTGCATCTCATTTCTTTAGCTTTGTTCCATTATTTATTTAGCATACTTTTCCAACATAAGCTTGGCCTCAGCCCACAATTATTTATCTGACACAGCCCAGGCGTTATATTCCTGCATGTACAGCCGTCCTTAAAATCACGGGCACAGCTCAGACCCACGCTTCCAGCAGGGCTTGAGGGCAGCTGGAGTTCCGAGGCAGCCTCCCGCAACTCCGGGGGCTCTGAAAGCCGATTTGCGAAACAGCAGAGCTTTCAGGCCAGCCACAGGCTAATAGGAAGCATGCCTGAGCCACACAGATTTTCACGGGATTTATTACGGTTAGAATAAAATTTTTTTTTTTAAAATTGGAATAGTGTGGGGGAGAACAGTGGGGGGAAAGCAATGTTCTTGTGTTTAGGAACATTGTTGTAATTGGGAAACAGTGGCTGAGGACCTTGCCTTGATGTAAAACTCAGTAACAAACTTTCATGCATTTTAAAATGTCTGCTTTGGTGCTCCTTCACACTGTACCGGGTGTATGACTTGATCTAGAAGAAAAATTCCCTTCCCTCCTTAATTACATTGTTTGTTTCCTGCTCACAAAATTGTAACAGACTCCATGAAACTGTTTGTGCACCCAACAGTGATAAAGCTGGCCCTACACCAACATTGCAGGATAAAAATTGCAACTGTTGCTTTAGGCTCGGGTGATTTTTACTCAAGGGTTCAACACAGGGGTAGAAAGGCAAGCGTGCAGTAGTCTTCCACTGGGGTCTGTACCAAAGTTGTGCTGTATTGAAGAAGTGCTCAAGCTCTAAGAAACGCTGCTGCGTTTCCAACAAACGCCCGCCTAAAGTAGATGGCCCTGAATTGTTTGTAAAATATGGAAGTGGTAGATACAATCATGTTTGATTGTGACTTTATGAACACTGCTCTAATGTATGTATCTCTTAATTAGATTAGCACCCTTGGGTTCACCATTGCAGATAAAGTGGATGGTCCATTCCAGCTGGAGATTGATTTTATTGGCCTGATAAACGATAGAGCTCACACGGAAGAATTTGCCTATGAACTGTATGAAAAAAATCCTCGAGCCTAAGGTGGGCTGGTGTCCTTCGGGACATTCTTCAGAAGCTGGGTTTATTGTTGTAAAACACATGTGGCCTATAACAACCTGGAGATTCCATGTGAACAGCAGAGAGAAGTGTGTGAAGCGTTGACCGGAAGACCCTGACCAGTGACACAAAACCCTGAGGAGAGCTGCGCCGTGTTCTTACCATGTAGTAACTGGTGACGTTTTGGCTTCTGTCCTAACCTTTACATAAATAAAAGTATTTAATGAGCTGCTTGTAGTTCTTTTTTTGTACCAGTTTTGTTTTCTCCATTCTATAGGTTGTAGCCAGTTGTAAAACACCCCTACCTGGTAGTTTTAAACTGGAAAAAGCATGATGAGAATTAATACCCTGAGGACTGGTCCTTAGTGTGGCTGAGCTGCTGGAGTTTGCAAAGAGCAGCACCCGGAGGGGAAAAGGCAGAAGTATTTCAACCTTTAGCTGGTGCTCCTCTGAATAACTAAAAAAAGGAAAAGCTGCAGCTGCCAGGATTGAAACAGTAGCTGCGCAGGGGGCCGGGCTTTGGGTTTAGGCTGGTGTTGATGATCCTGTAGCTGAGGGCCGGGAACAGCAGGAGCGCTGTGAGGGTGGGGTGGGGGGACCCCCCCTCACTGCACCCCAGGCAGGCAGAGCTCAGGGGATCAGCACCTCTCCGGGGCAGATCAGTCACCCTCAGGGTAGGAAGGCACCGCCGCAGCTCCATACCTCCCTTTTTCTGAGAAGTCTGGTTTTCAGTAATTTGAGAAACACTAAAGAACATGTGCTGACTGGGTTTGGGTCAGCTGCCACAAACACCCTCTCATCAAAGCACTGACCGCCTCCACAGTGACCTCGTTTGAGTGTACTTTACAAATGGTAAATGTACTTTAAACGTAAATGTTAAACATATTTTATGTGGAAGAGGCCACGCTAAGGCAAGCTGAAGCTCTGTCTTGTACTGTCATTTACCTCTCGCGCAGAATTAAATAGCTTAAGAGCAAAAGAGGGCTAAAGGCTCTAGTTTCTAAATATGCCCGCGGGAAGCAGGCTAAGCTGTAAGGAGAGGTCACCACAAAACCAGCACTCGAGTAAGTAAGTACGAGTGTGAACAAAACCAGTGCTACACTAAGGAGATAGTCAGACATTGTACACTAGATACAGGAGAGGTACAAGATATTCCCCCCCTTAAGTTTAAGTTTATTTAAAAAAAAGAAATTGTTTTTAACATTTCAGCATACACTCGCTAGGACACTACATTCCTTGAAGCAATTATTTGCTCCAAATTCTAGCTGAGATTACAACTGCTAAATTGCTTTTTCAATTCCACGCATAATAAATCCAGACAGCTTTTCTACGTATTTTTTCAAAGTAACAACAGCTTTTAAATCTAAGGTATTGAATGTGCCTCACTGCTACTGTAACATATTAAGCATCACAGAGATGAAAAGCAGAAGAATTTGTTAATCTCTACAATTTAACATAGAAAGGAAGAAAACAACCTTAACTGTTCAAAGCATCCAGTTGATAGTTTGCAAAGCCACTTTTTCAGCTGTGATTTTTAAAAAATACAGTATTTTACAATTATGTTACACTCTAAGCTTTTAGTTTTCCAGAGAGCTTTTGCATATTTTTTCTCCTCTTGGAATTCCCCTGCTACTTCATAGGCATGCAACTAGAAATGGTGAATAATTGCTGTAGCTGTTACAGAATTTAAGAACAGGGCAAGCAGACATTGCCAACCCCCGTAATGTACCTGTGGAACATTTTGAAGGTTGCTCTCCAAAGTGTGCCTTCGGGTGGGTGACAAATGAACGCTGGCCTAAGTTGCACAGAGGATTCTTAAGTCTTTTTTCTGCTTACATTTTCTCCTTTAACATCTTTTGGTTAAATGAGTTAGTTAAATGAAAATGCTGTTCAGCAACTAGAGATAGCTCCTAAAGGTTTAGAACTCTCATCTCCTTGGAGAAGTTGATCACTAAAACATTATGCTCGCATGCATTGTAAGGCCTCACTCAATGCTCTCTGGCTTCTACTAGCTAATAGCAATGTGAACCATACACAGACAGCACAAATATGTACATGACAGGAACAGTATTTACAGCAATTTCTTAGATATTTCTTCTGCCTCCTAACCCACAGATAGTCCTCTACGGTTTCCGAGAGCCTCATCCTTTTTCTTTCTTCTCTCTTGCTCATGTTTCTGACGCCTTTCTTCCCTGAAGTGGGGGGGAGAAAAAAAAAAGGACAGACCACATCAAGTTAAATTAAAGGTAGACACACAAGCAGCAAAAGGAATCTGAAGCTGACCAGGGCTTAACATCTATTTCACCAGCATGCTGCATCTGCCACGGGCCGGGAGAGCAGCACCGTTTGGACTGAATCCAACCATTTAGGTAAATACTGCTTAGATGTATTGGGCTAACAATTGAGGTAACAACATGTCAATATTCCACTTCTTCCAAGGCAGAGGTAAAGCCCCAGATGCTGGCACTGATAGCTTTCATAGAGTAAAAGCCTACTGGAGTCAGAGCTGTCTTCGTTGTTGGCCCTCCTGATACTAGACAGATTATTGGAGGCAACAATTACTTTAATATAAGAGTATCCTTTCCTGAACTGCATATTTAAATCCTGAAAAGACAAAGGAGTCACTGTATTTTAAATAACACTATTCATAAAAAGCTAATGGTGCACTAACCTTGTCTGGAGAGGAGGCTGTTTGTAGTCTTTCTTACGTGATGAGATGTTGCTACTGCCAGACTTCTTGAGGGCTGTATTTTCTTTAAATTCTCCCCAAGGTTTTAGTCGTCCTACAGTTTAGGGGCAAAAAGAGAGACTATTGAATTACTAGTTTAGTAATTCTGTGCATAACTTCTTATTGTGAATTTTATACTAGCTAGCCTGTTTTTTGCTTTTTCACTTGAAGATGAAATGCCTCGTCAGCTGTATTCTCAGTTTCACCAGCCCATTCCATACAAGCAGTTTTAATATAAGTAGTAACAGGTGACCGTGCTTATAAGTAACACTCACCACACAAAGCTCAGCTTCTCACACAATAGTGCACTTTTAAAAAATAAGATAAGCCTCATTGTATAAGGAATATCTCGTATTTCCCATACATACATCTATTCAGTGGAATACAAGGATGTTTATTCTTAAACACATGAGCTTTTGGTTAAAGACACTGAGCAGCAGGGAGGCTCTTAAAGCATAGACTATGTAGAAATTTAACAATCAGTCTGCAGACTGTGTGGGAATCGAAAGGGAAAGGGACAGGGAAAGAGTCTGAGAACGTTGCTGTCATGGTTGTATCGATGCCTTACTTTGTGAGTTGCTGTGTAAAAGGAGTGTGACCAACACAGACTGCCTGGGATCACGGTACCTTTGTGCGGCTGATACCGAAGAGGCCTTGAGAGACTTGCTTTGAGATCAAATGTCTTCTTTGCACTTGTGGGTTCTGCAGAGTGAGCTGAAAACTTGAAAGGGGTGCTAACTGCAAAAGGCATCAAGAGATCGTACTTAGTTATAGTAGCAAGAACAAGACTGTACATTGCAAGTTGGAAAGTGCCCCCGAAGACCACCTGGCAACTAGCAAGACCAAAGAGCCACTGAACGTTATTGTCTGCTGCCTCTAAAGACAGAACTGCAGAAATACAGCTCCCTTGAAATAGGGAGCTTTCAGGTATGGAGAGAGCAAGGGTTGCAGAGTATCAGCCCTTTTGCTCTGATTACACTATGCAATAGCGAATATAGCTCCATATATCTTTCTAGTCCTTCAGAGCAAGCCCTGTTTCCCAGTCTCTCTGCTTATTTGGAACCAAGGGACTTTCATGTTAACAAAAGCAGGATTCTTCTGGAACACAGCAGCTTCAGATCAGCAGCGGAACCACTCTTTCCCCCTCAAAAACATCAGTATCATCATACAGCAAGACAGGCAACTCTGGGTTCCTGGCCTGTGCTAACATACCGGTGATGCGAGGGTGGGGGTGGTTAGACAGCATTGCTGTGCTGGCGCGGAGATCAGTAGTAATCAGAAGACTTCTGCTTTTTTTTTCTCTTGGAATTTTAGTTCCTGAGTTAATTAGGGTTGCTGATGCTGACAACAGTTTGTCCTAAAGCACAGCTAGAAGCCCATCCCACAAGGAGAATAAGCGCTCTGAGAAGGCAACAGGGACCCCTCTCACCCAGACAGGATCCCCCTGTACCCATTATACGAAATCTTTTGCTATGCTGTCCCTAAAGGTCTAGAAGAGTTTCTATCGCCTTTTCTGTAGGTAGCTAGGTACCACATGTTAAAGTCTTAGCACCTAACCATTTTAGTCAAACCACTGGAAACCAAAGGAAACAAAGAAACTACTGCAGTTTCCAAAGAATCAGTCATAAATTAGGGAATGAAATTAAAACCCTGCTGCACATGACAATAGGTTATGAAAAAAAAATAATATAATTCAATAAGACAGAAGTCCTGATCTGACAGACCCCAGTATTTACTATTCACTTTACCCTTTGCTGCAGTCAGTTCATTATTTCTTGCGTTTCCCTTGCTGTTTTTCTGACTTATTAGTTTGCAGCTCTTTTGGCTATCAGGTGTGCAGATCACCTCCAGGTATGGAGACATTCTAGATGGAGTCTTGGTAAGAGAGCGTTTGTGCTCATTATCTTTTGTGGCCTCTGAGAACCTGAAAATTATCAGAAATATGAAAAGTTAGTCACCTACAATGAACGTCGGCAATGTGACAGAATACAGAAGGTTCTGTGTTCTACTTTTCTTACAGGTAGAAAGTTTTACTGTGCATAAGATGTTCACAGCTAAAAAATAAGATAAGCACATAAACTGCACTAAACTTGAAAACTACCAGCAAAGATATGAACCATCATCAATAACAGTTAGTAATATTAGGAATTACAAAGAGCTGACTTTCCTGTTATTTTGGAGAAAAAATATATTTGGATGCAATAAGCTAATAGGTGTCTTCAGCACAATTATGATTTACTTTAGATTTGGATTCTGTAGTAAAACATTATATATAGATATTGTTAATTTTAAAATTCACATTTAAAAAACAAAGAAAAATAACTAACAGAACTCTAGAACTCAAAGATACACAGGAGGAAGAAGCTGGAAATTTTAGTCAAAACTAAACACAAGTTGCCTGCATACCAAGATACACAGTGCTGGCCGTGTGCGTATATACACACATTTTTAACGTACATGTGTGCACACACACACATATATATGTGTGTACATAAACACATGAAAGAAAATTCAAAATCTTGCATGAAGTAATGCCCTTACCAAAAAGGCGCTAGGACTAAGTCAAAAGCCTGCAAGATATGGAAACACGGTGAGTAAATGTTGAAGAAAGCTGTGTTTCGAGGGCTAGCAAGTTCATGGATGAAGTGCAGCTTGCAAGATCCACCTCATCACATCTTTGGACAAATGGAGTGGAAGAAAATTCTAAAAGTGCTCTTTTGTTTTACATAATGCTAAGAACCGAGTAGGACTGCAGTGAAGACAAAGATCATCCAACGGGACACCAGGGGTAGAATGAATCTTGCTTTCAATTGTTGTTAGCTGTTGAATTCAAAGATAGCACATTTAAAGTGGAAACAAAGCCAGTAAGATTACGAGCTTGATTTTACAGGGAACTGGTAATCTTGACCTTTGTATAGCAAAAGAACTGCATTCAAAAGTCCCATAATGATTTATTATGACATGTCAATATTAGAAGTCACACTGACTCAATAAGAACAATCCCACACACACTTTATTCAGGAACAAAAAAGTCTCAGCAGCTATAACCTTGGCATGCAAAAATTGAGAAGTGAAGGCTATCTGAAAAATGGAAAGTAACACAACTGAGACCTGAGATTAACCAGATATTGTTTCCGGGAGAAGAGTAAGGGTAAGTTATAGAATGTCTAAAATCTGAACTTCAGTCACTGTGGAAAGTTTAGTAAACCGAATAAAGTTGGAATGAGTACAATAGTTAAAAACCAACAAAGAAATAGTAGAGACAAGGACTTTCATTGAAAAGTGTGTGAAAGGGCATTTATCAGTGGAGTACCACATGGACTGTCCTTTTGATTCTTTCTTTTAAAAGGTTTTTTTTTGTTCAAGACTTTGGAAAAATTAGTAATAAGCTAATAAAATTTACTAGTAACAAAAGTTCATTAAATATATTAACGTAACAGAGAATTACTGTGTAGGAATAATGAAATGCACGTGCTGTTTTAAAAGGAACTGCAATGACATTTAATAGCATTGAGTACGAGTTCATTCATTTAGCAGTTTCTCATGACTTTCTGGTGTCAACCTCATTCCCATCTGCTAGAAACAATCTGCTTATAGTAGTCAATCACAAGATAGGCCCCTGCTGCAACATCAGGGGTGGAAGGAGGTGTGGAAGAAAGGAAAAAGAATACCCAAAAAAACCCAAAAGATGAGTCCATTGCGAGTCTCATTTGGAACACTGCATACAGTTCTGGTTAAGTGATCTCAAAGATAAATGAATTCAGATATAACAGACTATGATGTTGCCTGGCAAAATGGAAAACCTAGCACAGTAAGAAAAGAAATATAATTTGGCTTGTTTGGTTTAGCAAAATGAAAGCTGAAAGAGATGCAAGATTCCTCTACCATCAGACATCAAAATGAAGAATCAAGGTAGTAACAACAGCTCACTAAGACTTAAACCAGACATAAAGCTAGGCTCAAAGTTGGTCATCAGAATTAGTCTCATGTAGCTCATATTTGGAATGGAAAGCCCGTAGTCAAATCGGTCAGTGTTGATTATTTCATGTGTATCACACCAAATTGTGCACTGGTAGTTTTGATTTGTTCTTTGTACCTGACATTCATTTTGGTTGTTGAAAGGACAGAAGGATTAAATGACGATTTCCTGGATAAAATACTCCGATTGGCAGTGTTCAGAGAACTGCATGGTGAACGCCGGAGGTTGCTAGGAGTGCAGGTGGCGGAGAATCTGCCTCTTTCTGAATCTGGGCTGAATAAAAATCTTTTGCCACTGGTTTGTTTCTAGGGAAAAGCAAATCATGAGTTAGCAGACTCTGCTAGAAGTTTATCAGAATAGCAGCTAAGAAGAAGCAAAAATACAGTGAATCAGAAGCATACAGTCTCTTTAGTTTTTCCCTTTTTATCTTAAAAGCGTATTTTAAACGCAAGTAGTTTTATTATTATTAAACTGATCTGAAAACACATACCTTAGAATTCTTATGTGGAGTGCCTTTTTCTGATGCTCTTAAGTGATTTGATTTCTTGGCTAGCACCTGGCAATAGTAATTTCTCTTAAGTATATGTTGATACAATGTATGCCATAGAAAAGAGAAACACAGTGTCCAGGAGCTTCAGTGTTACCGTTCCAATAGGGCCATTGACATATTCATTCATATAGACATCAATACATTACCGTCACTCCTCTAAGGTCTGCCCCATGCTGAAAGAGGCCCTTGTTAATGGCTTTCACCCATGCAAGCACAAAATACAAGAACTGAGAATCTGGGCCACTGGGAACACCACCTATTGCATATATTTTAAAGGAGAATCATATGCAGTCAGTGGACAATGGTTCTTTAAGGCACAAAAGGGGAACTTAATATTTAATTGCTGCTCTTTGAGAAATAACCCATCCCCTTGGTTAAGTTCTGCAGCAATTCAAACAGTTGTAAACAAAAGCTCCGTGTGATCCTTTGCAAAAGTAATTGTGACATAATTGTTTTTACTCCAAACGGGCAAATTATTTGTTGGTTTCTATAACTATAACCATACACTATTAATATATAAACACTTATATAACTATACAGGTTATATACAAGTAACTACACATACCTAGTTATATAGGACTGCAGTTAAATTTCATTGATCATAACATTCCACCGCAAGTACACATGACCAGCTACTTACTGCTCTAAAAAGACTCTACAGGACTTTTACAGGGAGGCTCTGGAAATCAATGAATGCAGGAAGTTTGGATATCTCCCTGGGTTATTACTTACCTTGACTTCATTGAGAGAACTGCTGCAGTTTTCAATCATTTTTTTTTTCCTCTCAATGTAGTCAGCAATAGATTCCATTTTCTTGAAATGAGCCTCATGCAACTTTTTAAAGTCTAAGAAGTTCCAAAAATAAGAAGAGTCACATATCTGATAATCTCTCAAGGAAGTTTACTACTTAGTAGGAGATCTTGCAACACCTATCATTATGGCCTCAAAGAAAATATAACATATCCCTCTAATTAAAAACTGTGTGTACATAAGTGACCGAACAGCATGAAATAGAATCTACTTCCCCAGCTGCATAGCCAGTCACCTGGTGCATGCTCTGAAGAATTATAGAATCATAAAGCGGTTTGGGTTGAACGGAACCTTTAAAGATCATCTAGTGCAACCCCCAAATTCTGCAGTTAAAAAAAAAATACATTCCTACATTTAAAATTTGGAAGTATTTTATGAAGAGATGAAAATGAGCTAATACATACAAATACTGCTGTTGTGCTGTATTACCAAAGTGAAAACTGTACAAGCAGGAATAATAGCATGTCTTCATGCTTTTTTTTGTTTTGAAAATCATGAATGCGAATATTATACCCAAAAGACATCAAAGTGTTCAATAAATCGGTTTTATAACATACATGTGAGTCATTTACTACTATGAATTTATAATTTGGAAGATATATCTTAAAATGTAACCTTTGGGAGCTTTTTTTCTTTGTTTGCTTTTTAAAGAAAGGATGTTCTCTTCAAGCAGAAATAGAAATCTGGGGTTTAAAAAATTAAGTCAAGGTCTCCCCTCACACACAGACAGCACCACTACTTCTAAAGCTAGTAGGTTCTCTTACTTGGTGTAGTAGCTTTCATTCCTGTTTTCCCAGACCTTGATGCACGGCCTACGTATAAAGGGATCTTCCCTCCTGCGTGATGAGCATCACCTGGTACAGATTAAGAGCAGGCAAAATCATTAGAACTGCTGGAAAATATTTTAATGTCATCACAACCTTTTAAAAAGTATTTGTTTCAAAACACACCTCATCACCTCAAAGTCAGTTGAGGTTTTGAGAAATAAGAACATCAGCTGGAATAGATATGTCTTAAGTCTCTCAAAAGCCTTTTAAATTGTGAGCAACAGAATGTCTTGACAAACAAGCCCAGTATGAATCTCACAGTCATACGAGGTTATTATCTTTTGATAGTCAAGTATTTTACAGGGGAAGTTAACAAAAGAACTATGCTTGTGGGAAGCAAAAACAACTTTAAATTCACAGGTCTTGATCTATTTCACAAGGTAGTTGTTTTTAAATGTTGATAACAAACACAAAATACCTTTGGGACAGCTTTGCTGCTGCTGCCTTACATACAGAGCCTAAGTTCTTTTTATCACCTGTGCTCTCAGGTGTAGTATTAAGTTCATGTTCACATTTTAATGATTAATTTTATTTATCAGGTCCAGAAATCTGCAGTCAAAGCCAGCACAATTCCTACACTGCAGAATTTGTGGATTTGTGCTGCAATACATTTAAAAAACAAGTATACAGATGACAGATTTTTTTTCTGGTATCCTCAAGTAAGGTCATCAGCAGACATGCCACAAAAATCTTTGCAGACACAATAAAATAACCAAAAGGTGTGTTTTAAGTAGCACAAATTACTAAACTAACTTTCTTGTCATTTTCTACTTACGTATGTCTCCACTACTTTTAGTAGAAGTCATCTCTGGTAGCTCTTTCTGACCAGTACCCATATCTGGATTCTCAATAGCTTTCTTTTTAGTTACTTCTTCCTCATTTTGGAATACATTCTGTTCCTTCTGATCCTCAGCCTGAGGCACTTCGTTTTCTTTCATTTCAGAATGCTCCTGCAGTTCAAACATACTTCATTTAAACAGCTTGTTCTGACTGGATGTAAAGAAAGGTGGCTGTTCTGAGAACAGTCAGTCAGTGGGACAGGTTGCCCAGAGAGGATGCTTTCGTCCTTAGAGATCTTCCAATATCAGATTTGATAATGCCTTAAGCATAGTGATCTAACCTTGGAGTTGACCCTGCTTTGATTGGGAGATTGAGCAAGAGACTTTCCAAGGTCCAACCTGAATTAACCTGTGAAATACTTATCCTGTCATTTCACAACAGATCCAGATCAGAAAGCTATTACCTGCACAGCTCTAACAGTGTAAAATTACCTTTATTGACAATTGTTATTTGCAAGTAAAAATAAATTCAGTGGCTAATGTTACTTATTACTACTGTAGCTTTGGTTACTGTACAATTCTCTAACACTAACAGACTAACACTCCTCATCATCTCATTTCCCTCCTCTAAATCTAAATCAATAAAAGCCTTTCAGACAGTTCTTAGTTCACCCACTACCTGCACATAATTCTGGAGAAAAACAGTTCTATTCCAATCTCACCTTGGAGCTTCCCTCAGTCATACAACCCACGAACAAAGAACCAACTGAGGAGTGAGAATTAAAAAATTGTGAGGTTTACGCAATCATCCAATTTCTGTTCATTTTTTCTATATAAAGTAAACAGCCTTATTTCAGATACAATCTGCAGCTAGTTGAATATTTGGAATACTAGGAAGATTTAGTAAAAGCAGTCTTACATTCAGAGAAAGCATTTGGAATTGTATATTTCTTAGAGGAATTAATTTCCTTGAAAGAATGACTAGAGAGTAATCTCTGTTCACTGCGGAATAGCACTTACTCAAGAGAAACAAAACCAGTTATGAAATACAGACAACCAGTACCAGAATGGTTGAATATGAAATTCTTATCTATCTATATAGATACATACACACACACATAAAATGTATTCCACCTGCTAAATGGTGGCAGAAAAAAAAAAAAAAATCAAGTCTTTAAATTATGCTTGGGGGAGGGGGAAGCAGCCAGCACACATAACCAAGCAATGCAAATCACCTCTTCCTCATCACAAATCCCTGTATTTTCTTCACTGGCATTAGTTTCCTCACTGGAGCTCCTCTTTTTTCTGGTTATTTTCTTTCCTTTACCACGTCTTTTCGTAATAAAACACACTGAATCAGGCATAATTTCCTCCTGATTGCTCAGTTCATCCAATTCCATGGAAGCAGATGCAGATTTTTCAGAGTCCTGTAGCAGAAAAATACTATAATGTGGAACATATCTGACACAAACATAAATTAGATACTCCAAAGAAACAGTTACCATTTTATTATTGAAAAATATTTCACAAAGAGAAAAAACAGTAGCATGACAATTAAGAGCACAGTAATCAAGAAATAGGCAATAACTAGATTTTGCTAAACATCAAAGCTCATTGTTTGAGGACTTTAGAAAGAAGTCCTATAGTTGTTTTATGCTATATAATTTTAATAAAATGGTATAAATAATACATTGTTATTTTAATAAGATGGTATAAATAATACTTTATATTTGTAATCTGACTTTCATGATGCTGTGACCCTCCCAAATTTGTACATTTATGTGGAATACGCTTTACCAAAAATCAGAGCCTCTTCCATGCTTGTTAAAATTAAAAATAAGTTGACAAGGATTACACCTTGTCTTCAAATCTTTAAAGAAGATTTTAAAGGAAGCACTTAAAGGGAGATATATTTTAGAAAAAGCAGATACCGATTTGCTCTCTATCGGAAACTTAAAAAACATTGCCATACTCAACAAAATAATTTGGCTTACAGAAGAGAATAGTTAAGAAAAAGCTAAGGAAACAGTATATTAAGAGATGAATAAAGGAAACATCACAATTGTATTGCCTTCATTGTAGTATAAGGAAATTGTAGTAATGTAAAATTCTTTCCAAAGAGTATCCAGTCCCTTTCATCTAGGTATGCAAAAATGCATAGAATACTTTTGAATTTCTACTGACTAGTGTCTGGAGCTAAAAACGCAAGAATTTCATTAATTAATCTTGTACCGATGCTGAAAAATACATTGCTAATTTCGGCAGCTGAAAGGTCATACAGCTTTCCAAAGGCAGCTCCAGGTCATATAGGCAGCCACTTCAAAGCTAAAATGAGCACATCTGTTTCTATCAGTATATGAGTGCATTAAACTAAAGGCACTATTAAGAAAAAAGTAGTTTTATTATATATATTATTTATATATATATAAATATATATTGCTTATATCTATATATTTATTATATACTATATATGAACTATAATAAAGAGGTAAAAGTACACTTTTATGGTAAAAGCCAACTTCAGTACATGCCCTGCTCTACTAGTTACAATGTTAGGTCTGTCCTGCAAAAAGAATGGCTCATTTATCATCTATTACCATATTCTCATTGTCTTGTTTTGTTCCATGAAAATGTTGCTTCAGTGCTTTCAACAATTTATCTGCCTGGAAAAAAATCAAAACAACATATGAACCAAAGATTGCATTCAGCCATCAGACAAGGAAACTGCATAAACACAAATAGTGTCCTATAAATTAATCCAACAAAAAAAGCACATTTCCTGAATGTACCAGAATAAGGCACACCTAGAGCTTCACTCAAGTCCATCAGATTAGAGAAAGTGCTAGTAAATATGGATAATATTTACATATAAGTGCTTTTTTTTTAATATATAAATTCTAATAAATATAAACAAATATAAATACGTAGCATATTCTTCATGGAGGCACAAAGACAAATTTCCCTGACTTGGTTTCTTCCGGTGTGTCTATTTTTCAGCAAGTTTAATTGTTCAAGGATGAGTGAGCCCGACTGTTTCTAAGAGCACTACATAGACAAATGCGAATTAAAATTGTGTCCAATTTCTGCAATAGCTTCTGTCTTGCCCATAATACACGCAAAGCATTCCTCTCATCCCTTCCATATATTCAACAGTAATTTATTCTCTCTTCATAGCAGTAAAATAAAAACGTTACATCATTGGTATTTTAGGCTATGAAAGACCCTTAAATGCGTAATTTAAAAGGTCAGCGTAAAATTAAACCTGAACCAGAAGTTTAAGAACAAAATAACCCAGATCCAGAACACCAAGCAGATGCTTTAGCCTTGTTAGGACAGTGAGTTCCTTTGTCCACTTAAGTCGCGGATCTTCTTTCTTTTAGGGCTTTATGCCTTCTCCCGCGGGCGGTGCGGCAGTCAGGCCGCACGATTAAATTTCTGGTTCTTGGCCACGACTAGTAAACACACGCACGCGCTCCCGCCCCTGAAGGGAGTAAAAAACCCCCCTCAGCTACCCGCGCTGCGGTGAGGGGAACCCGTTGGGGACGCAACCGGCGGCCGGGCACCCCGCTGCCAACGCCGCCTGCAACCCCAGGAAGGGACGGGGACCGAGGGCTCCCCTCAGCGCGGTACCCGAAACCGGACCACCGTCCCCGGAGACGGGCGGAGCGCCTTCCCCACCGGCCGGGACCGCTCCTCAGAAAACGGGCGGGAGCCGGGGCTTCGCCGCCCCCCACCCCCCAGCCTCACCCGGAGGTTGGCTTTCAGGCCGGTAGCTTTTGCGATCTGCTGGAGCTCGACGTATTTCAGCGACTCCAGCTGCCGGAGCGAGGGGAGCGCCATGGCGGACGGACAGACAGACGGGCACGCAGCACCGCCACAGCAGCAGCAGCACCAACCGCCGCCCTCCGACCCGCGCGCTCAACTGACAAAACGCTGCGCGCCCGCTTCCCCGCCCCGCCCCCTCCACGTTCAAACTCAGCCGCCACGCCAGACCATTGGCTGGATGAGGCAAAGGAGGCGGAGCCCTGAGGCACGGAAACCACCAATGGAGGCGCGGCCAGCGGGGTACGCTCGCTTTTTTTCAAACATGATTGGCGGTCCTAGCGAGGAAAAGCCCCGCCCTCCCCTGCTTGATTGACTCGGTGCGGCCCGCTTCCCAATAGCCTCGGGTGAGGGAGGGGGATTGATGCCTCCCTTGCCCAATGGCAGCGCGGATCTTCCAGGCGCGCTCCAATGGTGAGGCCGGGAAGGCGGGGGCGGAGCGCTCAAATGCGGGGCGGGAGGAAATGGCGCTGCGCCGGCAGTTGCAGCAGTTCGTACGCAGCCCGTTGTCCGCCGGTTCTATCGTCGTGGAGCAGCCGCCCGCCGCCACCGAGCCCTCTTCACGCGCCTTACTGCCACCGCCACCGCCTCCCTTACTGCCGCCGCACTGCGCCGTCTTCCACTGCCGCGGCTGCTGGGCGGTGCTGGGGGACTCGCTGCACCTCTGCGCTCAGGAGGAGCGGTGGGGGCTCAGCCTCCTCGTCTGTTTCAGTTAGTGGCGGTGCCCGCGCGGGGCTGGGCCCGCCGCCGGGGGGGCCGGGTCTGGGAGGTGGGGGGGGAGTGTGAGGGGAACGTCTCGTTTTCAGTGGGTCTCTCCTTTTCCTCTCAGAAGTCACCAACGATGTGAGCTGGGAGGACTCGCTCCTCTTCGGCCTCGAGGGAGCCCTCCTGGGATGGTGCGTACCTCGCCCGGTTCCCGCTTTTGGGCAGCGGCCGCCGCGAGAAAACCCTTGAGGGCAGAACCGGCTTTCGGCGGAGCCGGGAGCTCCCTGGGATTCTGCCCTGGGGTTTCTTACGGGTTTGGGAAACTCCGAGGTTCCTTTCGTACCCCCCGTTCCGTCACCTGGGATGGAGAAGCCTTTTGTAGTTATGTAGCTCTCATCTTTGTCAAAATCAAAAGTTCTGCTGCTCTAACCTTTGGTGCTGGAGAAGAAGGTTTGAGCAGCACAGTAAAAAACAGCTTGTCCTTTAGGGCTCTTTCTTCTGCTCCTTCCCTAAAAGGTCTGTTATCTAAATTAAAGCATCTGTCTTTGGGGTTTTGTTTTTGTGATTTTCATACTGAAAATGAGTAACTTCTGCAACTCTGTTCACAAGCCTCCAGTTAGCAATAGGTTTGTTAACGCCGGGATTAGTCTGATGGGAAGGATGTCAACACCACCTGAGGATTTATAGAACCAGTAGTTTGTTTAAATTCTGTTTAGAGGCTACTTTATAAGGCTGGGAGCTTTGTAAATGTAAGACTTTTTTTTTTGTTTGTTTTTAGTTTTTCCTCTCTCTGCATGAGGCAATAATCTTGTTTTATCAGGAGGAAATTTCACATTTGTGATCTGGCACAGACATTGTTTTACCAGTGAAATCATGTTTGAGTAGTATAGCCTAATGTGGTAATAAGACATGTATTTGTCTTATTATCTGTCATAATAAGATATCTTCTTTAATTGCATCTTTATTCATTACAGAGATTATTTCTTGTACAACATGCCCAAGTTATGTTTACATTATCTTTGTGTGTACTATTTCTTTAAAGAGAAAGTAGTATTATGTCTTGATTTGCTGTCCTAACAGAACTGAAGATTTGATGTCCTCTGACAAGCATGCATCATCTGTGGTTTCACGAAGCTTCTGTTCAGTAATATTACTCCCTTTCTCCTTCTAGTGCTTATAATGCATTATCCTGCCGGTCATGTGGCTTGGTAGTGGGCTTCATTCTTTATTCTGCCTCTAGTGCCCTGGCATATCTCCGAGGCTTCTTCTGTTTCTTGAAGGACAGCATCATCTGGTGAGTGTACTGTATTTATATGGTCAGTGATTTCACAGGAATTTGGAAGTTTTTACAACAGGGTGTGCAGCTACACTACAGCTAACAACAGCAGCTGTACTTTTGACCGAGCACATTGGTGTGGGATTTTAATATCATCCCCTCTGTTTAAACTGTGACAGTGTGACTCCGTTTGATTTGCCTTGTGCTTCTTAAGTGTCCTCATGTAATGTCAAGGTTTAAATTTAGTTGCTTGCAATACTGAAATCTCCTTCAGTTCCAGATTCGTTTAGCTAATTTAAGGCATCAAAGTAGTTCCATTATAGATTGAGGACCTGACTATAGAAACTGTAAATTACTTGTAGCTGGTGATGAGAGGACCTTATGATTTCAAAGTAAAACCATTGTTATGTTTTAAATATTTTCATAATGCATTAGCTACTTTTGGCAACAACTTTGTATCTGCTTTAAAATCATCTTAAATTATCTGTCTAAACAATGAATGCAACTATGGGATTTTTAATGTTTTTTCTTGTTTCTTTGGGTTTTTTTCCCTTTCCCTTTTTGTTTTCCAGTTATCTCTTAGAAAAACAAACTTCAATAGAAGCTTCTAAGGTGAATTTTCCTGCTGTGACCTTGAAGGGCCAACTGCAGGAAGTAAGGTTTCTACATTAATTTATATGGAAAATATTTTTTAAATGCTGGTATTTTTTATATTAGTCCAAAAATATTGATACAATTTTTTTTTTTTTTTTAAGTGCATAAGATGGAGAAAATACTGACTTATAATACTGTGACTGACTTAAATGCATGAGACATGCAAAATATTTTCCAGAACCACTTGCCTTTAAAACATGCCCAGTTCTAGATAAATTTTTGGCAACAGTGTATTAACCTTTTATCTCTACACTTTGAAAAGAAAACAAGAATTGTTTAATCAGACTGCCTCACTATTACTAGTTGTGTTGTCCCTACAACTGATAAGTCACTGTTGAAGAATTTTTAAAAAAAAATAGCAATTTGTTAGTTTGAAAGGGATTCTAGCACATCTTCATTTATGGCTATGTAAGCTCAAAAGAGCATGGTAGTATTTACTTCTCCTGTCAGAGACACTAGAATCTCCCTCCTTTTGTGATATTTAAATTGGATGTTCTTTTCCATAACTTGGTTAGTTGTTAACTTAGTAAATTGTCTGTCCCTTAGCTCAAATAAAGTTCCTGTGTGTAGGAGACAGTTGGCGTACCCACTGTTTATGTCCTCACTTGTTCCTTAATTTTTTGTTTTTTGTTTCTGTCCTAAGCATGGAAATGGGCTCCTGACATTTCTTAAGTTTTGTCTTCTTTAAAGTCATCTTTTGGTGTCTTACCAGACATTGGAGTGGTTTTAGAGGTCAAGTGAGGCTAAACTGCAAAAATTTTATCCAGGCGACACTTCTAAAGCTGAGACACATTTTTCTGAAGTTAAAAAATGGTAGTATTTCACTGCAAACATAAATTATGTGTCTGTGGAATTTGCTTGTTGGCTAGAACAAGTGCAAGAATCGGGTCTTTGTTTTTTCAGACACAGTGTCAGCAGGATTTTATTCTTGTGCTTTAGATGTGATAACTTAAGCTGCAGACTCTGGAAATGGCATTTTTGAGGGACTGTCTGCATGTAATCATAAAGTAATGATGAAGCAGTCTGTCCAGATATTGCCAAAGAAGATCTCTGGCTGTGTAAAAACTTGAAATGAGTTAACTAGGGAAGATTGGATTGATTGTAATAAGGCTCCAGCAACTCTGTCTACTTAAGTAGAATATTTCCATACATCTCCAAAAGGGGTTATGCTGGCCCTTGTTAATCTCTTGCCTTCGTAGCAATCCAGTGTTAGGACATTTTTCTCTAGTTTTAATACTCTTATTTCTCTTTTTTTTTTTTTTTTTTTCTAGCTGAAAGAAAAGCTTGTGGAGACTCACACTCGCATAGAGAAGTTGATAAAGCAGCTACAGGAACTGGAACAAAAGAATAACATGTCAGAAAGGCAAAGCTCTGTATCGGATGCCGTTGACCAGGGTATGCAGTAGTCAGGGCCAACTAATAATATGCTATTTTCAAGAGCTGCTGGGGTTGCTTCTGCATCTCTGCAGAGTTTCATTAGGATGAAATAATGCACCGGAACAGGTTTGAGTGTTGATCTGTCACTTTATCTGTGTATGGAAAGAACTGATGCTTCAGTGCATCCTTTCAGTCTATGGGGAACACCTGAAAATCTGACATACTAAAGTTATGCTTGGAAAAATGAATAGCTCATCCATGCAGCATGTCACTCTCTGAGACAGGATATAACTATGACTTGGATTCTCTCTGACTTCAGGGGCAAACCCAGCCTTTGAAATATTAGTCATGTTTCTGGAACTATACAAAACATACTAGAAAGATGATATTTGAGAGGAGCATTGAATGTTCTTACAGAGATTTGAAGGATATCATAGAAGCTGCATGGTGTGCCTGGTGCATGTATCTGGATGGCACAATGTTGGCTGGAGCACAAGGTTTTGGATTTCAAATTCAAGGGCAACCCACATGTCAGCCAAGTCCTCTGGAAGTGCAGCCTCATGGATGCACAGGACCGAGTCAAGTTCTGGCAGCTCTGTGAAGCTTAGGCTGTGAGCAGCTCCCTTAACAGTTGAGCCTGCCTTTCTGGGGCTGAAGCTGTGAAACCAAGGAACCAGGTTTTTTTCTTTTCCTTCACGTCTGATCAGTCGTGGGAACACTGCTCTGCTGAAGTTGTGATGATCTGCCTGCTGCCTTCACTTGGCCGGGCAAGATGTTTCATGAAAAATCAGTGATCTGTTACCAAAGTAATTTGGTGAAAAAGAACACTACTTACTCTCTGTTGTTGGGACAGAATATCTTTATCCCCAATTATTGCTGGTTGGAAAATTAAGGGTCCTTTTCCTCTCCCTTTTGCTGCCTCAAGGGCTGATGTTTTAAACCTTCCATAGATCTTAGTAGTCGTCTGTAGTGGTTTACTTCATTCCTGTGATGCAATTTGCTGTTCCTTCTGCTTCTGTATATGATTGGCAGGTTGCCCTCCCCCTTGCTGCTGATGCCAGTACTCCCTGTATTTTGTGGTCTTATTTGTAAAATAACTCCTGTAATGGGCTTGGAGCAGAAGGGACAAAACTCACTGCCAGGCACTTCAGGGGCTTTAGGTGGGCAGCTGGTACTCATCCTACTGCTAATGGGTCACTCTGCTGCTTTTTGGCTCAGTTTGGGGTTGTCTCAGTTTGGTCTGATTAAGCGATAACACGGAGTACCAACAGCCGTTCTGCAGGGAGAGGAGGGGCATGCTCTGTTAAATTCTAATACTGTATGCTATCTATTCCTATTGTTTTACAAATCTGACAGTGTAAGTGCAAATCAGTGACAGCTAAATTCAGGATATCAAAAGTTAACTACCTGAAGTAAATCTTACAATCTTGTAAGGTCTGTTTCATGGCCTGTAATGTTCTCCAAAATGAGCTGTATCCTGAACCCTTAATAGGAATGTTGTTTTTAAAGCTTGAATTTGCTGTATTTGTTGTTAGCAAGAACAAAGACTTTTTTAAAAGTTGTGTTGTACAGTGATTTCTGCACTGTTGGTCTTTAACTGAGGTCTTGTGACTAAGTTCATTTTGTGCAAACATTTCCCCATCTCAGGTGAATGTTTTCCATTGTGTAAATTCATTTTTGTATTACTTTCTTAGTGAGAGCCTTTTTGTTCTTGCATCAGTAAGAAACATGATTGATAATAGGACTATTCGCTTTTGCTCTTTCATTCTGGTTTCTGCATTGAGCCTGTTTATCGCTATCTACTTGACATCTATACTGTATATAACTGCTCAATTGTCTTGTTTCATTTGTGTCCACCCTTAAAAGGAAAAGCTATCAGTTACATTTCTTCTTTAACGATCATATAAAAAAAGTTTTAAATAATTAAAAAAAAAAAACAACCCAAAAATGAAATTCAGAAATATCAGTGATCTGCACAATATATAATATCATGTGAGTCATGCTACTCTTTCTCTAATCTTTGGAAGTGGGAGGACCTCTGCTCTGTCAAGTCAAGCTGTGGTCCTTCATGTCTATCAAGTGATGTGTTTTCTTGGCACTGATTAATGTACCTGCAGATGCTTGCAGCAGTGCAGTGTTCTAAGTAAATTTTATTTTAAGAAGCAAGCCATGTAAAATGAATGCATTATCTTCAGTAATTTGAGATGACTGTTTACTATCAACCTCTAGGTGCATTTTGATTTAAGTGATGCTTATAAAATTTTACTTCTGAAAGATTAAGCGTTTGATCCCACAGACCATCCCAGATTCAAATTCCTCTTAATCTATAACTGATGAATAGATATTTGTTTATTCTAGTATAGAACCTAATCTCCTCTAACTAGGCATCTTGATAGATGTGTTCTAGCTTTAAGTGCAGCCAGGGCCATTCTGGTGTGGGAGGGATGGATTTGAATGAATACCAACCACTTTAAAAAGCAAGTTTTGAGGTCAGGCCTTCTTAGGTTAGCTGTCCAGCAGCTGTCATCTTTGAATCCAGAGACAAAAACAACTAGAAAATGAAACAAATTAAGGTGGTTGAACAGGCTCCTGAAGTAACAATTATCCTGTGAATCTTCTGTAAACTAACATAAGGTATAGCAATCCATAACAGGTTTTGGAAAGCTTAGAGCAGGGTGGGGAGTCATGGCTTCTCCAGCATCATCCTCATGAGGTGGTGTCATACAGAAGGAATTTTTCAGAAATGTAGTTGCCAAAGCAATAAGCAATCCATATCTATGGAACAGTTTTCTGCGGGGCTTATTATTTTTAGGCAATTTATACAAGCAACAGCAGCTTTCTTCTACCTTGAAGCTTTTATCTGACATTTTTTTCTTTCGTTGCCTTCCAAGAAGTTGAAGGCTCTTGTGCCTGAAGTCTGCTGAACAGCTGGACTCAGAGAAGATATCCAACATACCTTAGTTTTGCTCAAAATGTTAAGCTTTGACAAAGCTACAGCAAGGACAAACACATCTCAGAAGTGGAGCGGAGGGTGTAATAAATTGGTTAATTTGGCTTCTGAACAAATGACACATCCAGTTTTAGTGCATTCTCAGCCTGTGCTGCTTTATTGCTAAAAAAATTTGTATACAGGTGCAGAGTTTCCAAGTTCATTTTTAAACAGTTCCTCTTTACAGTGTCAAAAGAATAAAATCTTATCTTGAAATCCTCAAAGATGCATAGATATAAAAGCAAGCTGCCTTTTGGAAAAACATCAGAATTTGCAGGGAGACATTCTTTCACTGTTACCATGTAAAACATGTGCAATGGGAGTACACAGTTCCTAGTGACACCAATAATTTCCTTCACTAATCCATATTCACTAATCCATATAAGCATGCCATCAGAAGTGCAGTAAAAGAAGTATTTTTCTAGCCTGTTTTTAAGTATGAAGGTAAAGTTAAAGAATCTATAACTAATACTTCTCCTTTGCTGTTGTGTCACTTTTGAAAAGGAGGATATCTTCACAGACTATTCCCCAGCTTTTATATTGAAGGAAATAAACATTAACAAAAGATACAATTGCTTACACATCCCACAAAATATATTTCACAGGGTTTAAAATTATGTGAAGTGTTCTAAAGAATACTCACAAAGAATTAGGTGGCCCTGGTCAACTGTAGGGCTAAACTTGTTTTACAAATTCTCTTTTTGCTTGAAGAAATTGGCTCAAAGGATTGCATTTAGTCTAACTTCTGATACCATAAACCAGGTCTCTTATAATATTCCTATCTTCATTTGGCAATTCTTGTGTAACTAGAAAGAGCATTCATGAAAAAAAAAAAACACAACCCCCATTCTAAACCCAAATCATGATGCTGTATGGATGATTGGCTATGAAATATGAACAGGAGTTAACTTGACACACAGTTTCTTCCTGCAAGACACTTCCTCTTTCTATTTAAGAAAAAGGACTGAGCCTCTGTACATGGAGAAGTGTTCTGCACAAGTTAAGCCCACCTACAAAATTAAGCTAAGCTAGAAGTATGAAATTTTGCAGTAACAAGCTAGTATTCTACATGCTTGAATACAAGTTGAAACTTGGAAAAGTATTAGTGACGTAGGCTATGCCACACATTCTATGTTATTTTCAAACTGCCAGCAGAAATTCACTGCATTATCCACTGAAAGACTTGGGAAATATTACAGAGAACACACTAAAAGTTTACAGAAAGATGGCACCCAAATTCCCTTTTATTAAATAAGAGAAATAAAGAAAAAAAGACTATTGCAACCTGTGTTGCAGAAGATAAAGACCTTCAGTGATCAAATCTCATTTTCTGTTTTTAAAAATCTCTTTAAAGAACTTAAAAAATATACAAGATTACCAGTATTTTCAGGTTCATTCCTGCAGGTGCCATTATTGCTGGCTGGTACCAGTATGCTTCAGTACAGCTGCCTATGTGGCTAGAGAGTTACCTGAAAATACTGTCTATTAAAAAGCTATTCAACACCTGAAATATATGTACTGTGCTTATTAATTTCAGTCTTCTCCAAATAATTTCTCTCACCACACCCAAGCTTATTACCTACTGTCTGGCAAATACTACACTCAATTTGAGTCTGTGGTTTCCATTACCTTTTTTTGTGTTGTTTTGTGTTTGTTTTGTTTTGTTTTTTTCCCCACCAGTTGCTCCCCCCTTGCACCTTGTAAGAAACTCTGCACCCTTTTCCTTGCTACAGCTGCAGCAGGTGAGAAACCTCATCTCGCCCCTAAACATGCTTAGTTCATGCCCTGCTTTTTACATGCTCAGGGCACTAATACGAACTAGACAAGAGGTTATCAAGGCGAGTTCTGCTGATCCTTGTTCCTGATTTACAGTTTTGGTGCCATGCTTCTGTCCCTATCTATACATTCTGCCCCTTTCTCTACAGAGGCAGCACATTCTCTAAAAAAAAAAAAAAAAAAATCAAAATTTGAGAATTCAAGCAGGAAGTTCAAGCTATTGGTATATTAATTCCTATTGCTTCATTATGTATAAATGCATATCTCAATTTACTGGTAATAACTACATTACACTAGACATTTTGAATCATGCATAATTAGAATACTAGCTCTAAGATTTGGTTTGTGGGCCTGTGCCACTTTCCTTCGTTTCTCCATATAGTTCTTCATGCCTAAAGCATTACAAACTAGCCACCTTTTATTTGACCTGCAAACACACTCATTTGGAGGGGAGTGGAGAGAAACAGACAGGGTTGACATAGGACACACTAGACAGTTATAACAGTAAATTACCTTTTCTCTGTTGTAAAGCCATAGGGAATCTGTCTGCATTATAACCTGGCACATCAGCTCAGAGACAGAAACACGCTCTGCTTACATCATGAACACCAACACTTTCTCTAAAACTCGGGAGAAAGCGTAGAGCAGACGGAAAGGGAATAAAACTCAGCATCCATGGTTAGTGTTCTGCACTGTTAAACGAGTTGCCCTGGTTCAACTGTTGGCTTTTGTGTGCCAGTCAAAGCGCTACAGGGGCAAAATACTGGATCATTCAGTAAAAGAAATCCAATGGAATCTAACTTGAACTGCCATTGTGCAGCTCTGTACCTGAACAGCAAGCAGGTTTATTAGTTTTGGAGGAAGACCAGACAGTTTCCTAGGGATGCAGGAAGCAGTTATTTCTAAGATCGGTTATCCATCAAAAACTGTTCCTTTTGTATTTTTCCCTTCTCTGCTCAAAAAACCACACTGCCAGCTCTTGACAATGTAACTCTTGCGTAGAGTGTCAGTATCCTGAAGCTTGGTACAATTTCTTCTCACTCACTATATCAAGGCGTCTTTGCAAGACTTTCTCTTTTGTCCTAAATTTGACCATCATCCTCAGTTGCAGAAGGTGCAATTCCTGAAGGTGCAATTCCCAACACAAGTACTGGCTAGACCTTCTGCAGCAGCACTACTGGATGTAGAAACAGCACATACTTGTCTTGTCTGGCTTTAGTACTGCTACTGGGGGCATGTCAGTACTGGTCACTACACTTTGATATCCCACACAGGAGTGCATAGCATCTAACACTTCCACTTAGTTTTAGAAGCAGGGAAATCAAGGGGGTTGGAGCAAAAGTCCATGTCATAGTACAAGGGCTGAAAGGCAAAGAGATTCCTTTTGTTGCTCTTAATAGTTTCTAGTCTAGTAGCCCACAGATCATTATAGAAAGTCTGAACTAGGAAGAATATGCAGATAGCTTGGCTGGCTGCATCAGGCTCGATTTCTTCCCTCTCTTCTCTGAACGAAGAATTCTGTACAGCCCCAAAGTTCAGACTTCTGAAGTATGAACATGACTGAGTTTTCATTATTATTTCATTATTATATAAATGTACTTGCTGACCACAGATCAGAATAAATTTATAATTTCTCTAATGTAATCAGACAACAATCAAATTAAGGTCCCCTATGGCCAGCTTCCAATTTTATCAATGATTCAATAGCTGGAATTTAAGCTGATTACAATCTTCCAGATCAATCAGCTTTTCATACACTTATTACATATTAGTCAACACTTAATTTAGACATTCTCACGCTTATCTTGGTTACTTTATACTGCAAAAATGCTCACAGCCCTCACAGTCCCATTACCAACTTATGAAGAGCCAAAGGGCTGCGACTTCCTAGTTTTGAAACATTAGAAGCCTCTGTTCAGTTGTAAGTTACCGTCCAAATTATTTCAGCTTTCTAGAAGAAATCCAGCCAGGTAAGATCTAAACCTCTGATACAATAATTCTGTTCAGAATACACTATTATCTGTTGGGCCATATTGTCTCTATAGACTACATATCTGCACTGAAAACAGTGTCAACTATGGACGTTTTAAACTCCTGTGGCTCTTTTATGTAACCCTTTGATCACAAATACTTTGCTGGGTGCAGAAGCTACAGCTGTAGATCAATCACCCTTTGTGTTACCAGAGGCTTCGCAGTACCTGCCCCTGCAAAACTTCAGGCATCAACAGAAATCAATTATGGGCTGAAATAGAGTGTTTAGCAAGGTTAAAATTATTTTTTGCTGTAAAATAACATTTTTAGAATTCTACAATTGTGCTTGGAATGTACAAATGTTTTGAGTGTCAAGACTTCTCTAACTTTTTGTTTAAAGACCATCTCAGATTGGTCTTTTTAAACAAAGGAAACAAAAAGTACTTCTGCCCTTCCCCCAGCACTCACTGACAGTGCTTCAGACCTGTGACACAGCTAATTTGTGTGTGGTTTTGGTTTTTTGTTTTTTTTTTTGTTTTGTTTTTTTTGTTAATATCAGGTTCATTAACTAAGTATTCAAGTGCCAAATTCCCTCCAATGAGAGGAACATAAGAGGAATTCACCCATCTTCTCAGGAAGAGACTCTTCACACAACTACCTGCAGCACAGAGCGCCACAAACGTATTTGGTTATTACCCACTTACTCTACTGTACAGTCTTGCTAATGCAAGTTAGTTACTATCACATGCAAAACAGTTATTGCTACTAAAGTTCTATTTTCTTATTAAATCATCTTATGGCTTTGTTTGCATCAGGGATTCTTCCCCCTACGTACTGTGCTATTTTGCATTCCAGTTTCAGAGGTATTTTTCAATTGATTCTCCCAAGCACTAAACTACTTTATTCAATGGTACAGCTACTTCCATTTAGAATTGAACATAACGCTCAGCACAGGTCCCCCAGAGCTCTGCTGTAAATGGCCCACCTGTCCAATTTTCTTGGAAATGTATTAGATGAAGAGGGTTGGTTGTTTGGTTGGGTTTGTTCCCCCTTACATACATTAACTCTGCACAGAGTACTGGTTTTGCAACAAAGTACATGCTTCTTGATTAATTACTTTAGAGACACATCGTATCAAAATTACAAAACCAAGCAACCCATTCCCTCCCTCCCCCTAACGGCCATTTACAGGCAGGTCTCAGGAAAAAAAAAATGCAGTATCCTCTCTAAGTTAAAAGAGAATTTTGTTCTTGCAAAAGAGAGAAATGCGTGAAGAGCAACACTGGCACCAAATAAAAGACTTTTTCCTAGGAAATCAGAGAATTCCATCCATAGAGCATTGCGCATCTCAGGAACCATACCAGTCTCTTATTTGACCAGCCCAAGCTGCCCATTGAGTGCTTAACCATTTAGACTTCCCCTGGTCTAAACTTTCCTTCTGAGAAAAAGCAGAGGGGAGAGGCAGAAATTATTAAAATTGAGCTTAGAGCTGGAAAGCAATACTGGAAGTTACTTAAAATACAGGATATTGAGTTCTCAATAATACAGGGTTGGGGAATCTCTGATCCATAGGCTAGAGATAGCCTGCTGCACAGATACAGTCTGCAATGTTGTTTTTCAACAGCCCTTGACCTTATTATATTCTCTCATTATTATCAACATTAAGATGTATGTAAATGCAGGATCCACCAAAGGTGTGAAAAGATTCAACAGGACTTCAGCCAAAAAAGGTTCCCCATTCCTGCAATAACAGATAAAAGTCTTCTACGTAGAATTGGCAGATAGCATTTTGCAACCATTAACTTAAATAACGAGGATAACGTTTACCTAGTTATAACAATTCTATAGTCAGATCTGAAAAAATAAATTTACTTAACAGATTTTGTAAATGATCTTAAGGTAGCAGAGATGCGTACAAAATGCACACAAACTCCTCAGCATATTCATATTTTTCTGAGTATACCCAACCTATGATGATAATAAAATTGAAAATGCTGCACATGGAAAAAAATACCTTCAACAAAGACTAGAAAGAAAAGAAACCCACTGATAGAGATGAGAATTCTGGACGCTTACATACACTAGCTTACTATTGCAGTTGGACAGATAGACTAAAACCAAAAAGTCAACTATGATTCTATGAAGCCCGTTAAGTGAATGCATTCCATTCCTAAAGATAGCGTTGCCATTGTCAAAGGGAGGATACTGCATGTTTAGACCATGTTTGTGACATTTCTATTGTATCCTTTCTATTGTTAATTACATTATCATCACTGTTTATTAATAAATTTGTCACTCTGAAATTGTAAAAATACTACTAGGCTCATGCACTGATCCTAACATGGCACTACAGTTTGCTACAAAGCACTAATGCTTATGGAACTATACACATCTCAAAATGGAAGACATTGGTGATTTTGTTGTTTTCAAACAACTTGTAACATCATTTTGTCCACAAGTATTAAAATATATATATGTATATATATATGATCTATTGCACATGCCCCTTGTTTTTGTAATCTTTCACATGGGAAGATTTCCAACCGACATAGAGAAAAAGTGGAGCACGAAAAAGTTAGGTAGGCTGAGGCAGCATTTCCTAACACAGCAGTTTTATAAAGGTGCTGGCTGGAAAGGTACGGCAGTGGGGGTCTTCTGGGCATGCACTATTGGAGTATTACTTCTGTGAAAGCCACAGATCCATAGCCCTGCTAAAAATATTATGATTTAAAATTAAACTTGAAAACTAATGTTGTTACATTATCATGAATAGCAGTCAGGAAAAAATCAGCAATTCTATTTTTTTTTTATTACAATGCAGGGTTACTAAATGTTGAGGGTTATTCCCACAGAAAAAGAAATTAAAGAGCTTAATGTCTATTCTCTAGTCAGACACATTGTTAGTTTTTGTACATGCCCACAGAAAACAAAAATACCTTCCTGTTCCTCAAGTATTTTGTCATCAAGCTATGCAAGAAACAACTGCCAGCTCTAATGTCAAAAGGGTAAATTGGGAAGAAGGAGGAAAAGGAAATTCCCAGATCTAAAAATCAGATGTTTCTTGTACCAGATACCTCCCAACCACTTATAATCTTATGATATTGACAGTATTTTCCATCACTTAGAGATGGATCCTGCTTCTACAGACATCTACATTAAATCCCATTGGTTTCAACATAAGGAGGCCCTAAAAGGAAGTGTGCTTTTCTAGTTGCCTCCAATGCCAGAAAATTCAGACCATATTCAGCAAAGAAATCCTACGTTCTTAAAAAAAGTCAGGCCAAGCTGGTGGTTGCCTCATCAAGATCAATGTAACTTTTATCACACAGCTCATCACAATGTTATACACAATTTTGGTGCACCTCTCTGCTCATTACAGTTGGCATTTTTTGATATGCAGCGTCTTGCCCATCACTCTTTAGCTTACACATCTGATCTTCTCTTCATGGAAACAAAAAATGGGTAAAGCTGTCATTAAATCTTATTGTTACAATGCAAGTCTAAACACAGGCTTAACTCTACTCTGAAGATTAGGATCAACATCAACACTTGTCCTTACTCTACTATGGAACTTGGTCCCATAAAATGTCACCACATTTTTAGTATCAGAATGCTGCCTTTGCAATCTATCATTAAGATTTAAGAGGGAATTCAATTGTTGGCTTTTTCAGCCAATTTCAGGCTGCCTGGCTCTCTCCAGCAGTTTTTCTAAAGTGAAAAATAGAACCAAACAAGAAATCTAAAATATCCGCCCCAACCATGCTATTATTTCCCAAAACCTATTAACAGAACCTATATACCTGTATTTGATCCAGATTTGAAAATATTGTTTTAAGGTAATAAGTCACATTTTCTAAATCACAAGCTTGGAATAAGGTGCACTAAGAAGAGCTCCAGATTTCAGGTGGAATAGAATACATATCCCGGTTCTGGGTTTTTTTGCCAAGAAATCTTACTTGCCATATACAATATCATAGCAGGGAGCATGTAAACAATACACACTCCCATCTCAGAATGATAGAAAACATCCTATAGAATCACAAATGATGGAGACAAAGAATCTTGTGTAAACATAAGAACAACAGATTGCGCCTTAGTTTGGAAAGGAATAAGAGGAAGCAGAAGGCGGCCCATCCTAAGTATTTCTGCTCTCTCACGTCACCCCTCTTACGTGGCTAACAACAGTCCATTCTCTTGGGCCTATTTCTACCTAGATGATGGAAACATACAGGTCACCTCAGCTCTCAGTCACAGAAGAATCAAAAAGCTGATTGCATCAGCAGTACGAAAAGCTGAAACCATGCCATGAAAGCTGAGTGGATAAACTGCAACTTTACATCTCTGGTCTCTTCTACCCCAAGAGAAGTTAATTTCTTTAATAAAGAAAGAAGTTCTGACCTATCTCTTCTACCGTAGAATGTTTTTGTTCCTTTTGCTGCTAAAGACTCATAAAAAGCCAAAGGGAAGGAATGATTCAACATAAACCTAATCATTATCCTGTTACCCCAGAGGCCTTTAAAGCTTCATTTTTCTTTGCTAAAAATGAAATGGTGCAGAGTAATTTCTCCTCCTGGTGAAAGCTCTTCATATCCAGCACTTACATAGGTTTGCACATGCAAATATACATTTTGATCACAGACTGGGACGATGCATTTACACACTATAGACAAGGTGATTCTGCATTTGTTCCTGTGCGTTAGCTGCTTTACGTGAGTTGACATCAAGACATCTATCTACAAAGTCAAGCCTGGGTCCTGGACTAGAAAATACCTGTATGGGATGTCCCCAGTTGTTTGGCAAGTTTCTTCATCATGTCAGAGCAGAAAATATGTTATGGTTTTCCTGCTGCAATTTTTCATACATGTCAAGACAGTTTGACATCGCAATGCATGCAGACACTTTATCTGCTAGAAATTCCATTATGACACAGTGAAGTACTTAACCTTCCTAAAATGAAGAAGGAAATACCGGTGAACATCACCAGCTTTCTCTTGCATCTGATTACAAAGTATTTCTCACTTTAGAACAGAATGCAGAAAGCTGGATGAAGAGCTGGCCCAGAAGACATTTCTTCAGGGAAACAAATGCTGATTTCTGTTACTCTGCTTTTGGAGTTTTGATAAAACGGTGGGGTACTTCTGTGGCAGAAGTCATCTGGTGAATCAAATGTTGGGTGAGATGGTTGAAATAGGAAGCGGAGAGATCTTTGTTCATTCAGCTCCATGGAAGTGAAGGACAGCTTTTTGCTTGCTAGAAGAGAAACAGCCACATGTTGCAGCCTATGAGCAAGCAACAGGACTGCTTTCTTCTTGAATGTCAGGAGAGGATCTGGAATCCCAAAATAAAAAAATCAGGAGAGGTAGTTTAAGAATTAGAATAAAATACATTCAACATTAAAATGACCGCTTGTTCATTACTTTAAAAGCCTGACTCTAATGGACAAAATTAGCTGGCTTCACAAACTGCAATAAACCCTTGCTCCATAAGATTTTATATTTAACTGTAGATGTCCATGAGCTGGCTAAAGAAATACTACAGAAATGCTGAACTATACACTCATTCAGAAGCAATGCATCCAAAAATATACCGGTGTTAATTAGCTATGGGGCTTCTTAACTGTGACTCCAACATATAGCATGGCAATGTTCAGACAGCACCCGAATACACACTGCACACAGAGTATGTTCTGCTGCAGCAGGTCACAATTCAGAGAGACACCATAAACTATCACCTAATAAACTACAAAACTGTCAGTGCTGTGGAGAAAAAAGCATTTACGACAGTTGTGAGATCACACAGATTAGCTACTCACTTTCACTCATTCCTCCCCACTTATCCACAGCGTGGACGTAAGTCAGTAACTCATCTTGTCACTGATCTCCTGGCCTTTCATCAGTGACACTCACCTAGTATCACCTAGTCACAGTAGCTGTTAAGACATGATTTTTTTGCTTTAAGTTTGATGCCAGCCTGGACTGGAAGGTAACATGTGTGGGTTCCTGCATAGCCAGTGCCAGAAACATTTCTTATCAGTCTCCTGTACTACAATGAGATGTTAAAAACTTGTTTTCTTTGGTTTCTCTCACATAAAAGAACATGAGGATACACTGTATTTTCTACCCCCTTTCTCTCTTTTCTCTGTATTTCTCCTCTTACTCTAATTACCTTAACCCTTTTGTTGATTAAGTTCAGAAATAACCTTCCAGTGACAATTTTCAACTGTGTTAGAAGTAGCAAGTAGATCATGACAATGGAAATACAGCACACATCACCACCACTCTCTCTCTGAGGCACTCAAATATTTCAGCTGAACGTGAGCTTGACCATCCATGCTCACACTACTGGGAAAGTCTTACTCTTGTTATGAAGATGGGGAAAAACAGACCTGGAGAGCTGAAACAAAACATGACAAAGGTTTGTGGCAGAGCTGAGAATGGAATATAGCACTCTTGTTACACACCTTAAATACCAGAATACCTTCATTTCATTCACTGGAAGAAAAAAAAAAAAAAAAAAAAAAAGAAATCAAAACTCAAGAAGTTGATCGTCATCATTAGAAATTCTGAATGCACTTTTTTCTGTTTGATAATTGACGTTTGGTTAAATTATTGTTCTTTCAATCCTACTGTTTAACAAATACCACTTTTAAGATAACTACTCCAAGTTAATATAATTATGCAACTAGTGTCTCTTAGTAGAGAAAAATTACATCACGGAACAGGAATTTTATAACTTTAAAAGCATTAATTCTTGTTAGAATACATAATTAAAATCAAAGTCTCTTTCAAGTGAAGCCGAAGCTGAAAGCTGACACTGTGGGAACATTGCAGTTCTCTGAAAGTATCCTCAGAAAAATTAAAATCTCAATGACTGACTTATTTGGAGAGGAAAAAAAAAAAAGAAAAAAAAAAAAGAAATAAAACCCCTAAATCAAGAAATTTGACAAGGTTAGTACCTGATATTTAATACCTAAATAACCTTATGGTTTTACTCACCATTATTTTTGATCAATCCACATTCTCTTCAGTGAGCCTAGGGAGAAAGAGATGAACAAATGAAATTAAATTTGCATCTAGAAAGCGATTCAAACCACACATGATTATCTGCATAAGACACAAAAGATTAGCCGTACTTCCCAGGAACCAGTTAACATTTTTAGATTTTCTACATAAAATATGTTGATGTTACTTTTCAAACAATCATATCCACCCCCTTCCTTTAGTCTAAGGGAAAGGTTGGTCAAGTGAATCGGGCCCAAGTATAGAAGACCCAGGACAGGCAAGCTTTAACTAAGAGCAGGCTGGGCAGGAAAAGCATATACCCAAAACACCCCTGAAAGGCTTTTGTTCAGAAACCATTCTGCTTCCTGGAGTAAAATCACGCGTGTCATTCACTTCACAGAATGTAGTTTACACAGTGCCGAATTCCCTTTTTCCCTGGTATTTGTTGGTTTCTACCTTACTGTGAACAGCTTACAGCCCGTGGTCGACCAACTGTACCTGACGCATTAAGCATTCAACACACCGAAACAACTTTCTAACGGTGCATATTTTTAAAATAAATGACTTTGTGGTAAGCTATCATCAACAGACAGATGTTTCAGTTTCATAGGAAGTGAGATGGACACAATTTGAGTCTCTAGTAAGGCAAGATATTCTTTCTTGTTAATAACAAACCACTGTAGCTGAGCTGACAACCTAACTAGAAGAGTAACAGATTGCTATAAGCAGAACTAACTGATCTCACAGAACTTACATTATTAAAAACTCCCAGTATCCTCACCAAAGTATTATGAGCTTCCACCTTCCTGCACAACACAGCATTTCTGCAAGAACCTTCAGAAAATTCAGTCATCAGATAATCTGAGCCCTGTATTTCACAGTAGTTATTCCATTCTCATATTCCAGTTCTGTCCCTTCCTACTCAAGTCCTCCCTCAAGAACCTGCCAAGCACTATGCGACTTTGAAAGATCAAGGAGCCAAGAGCAAATGATTCACAGAACAATTAATTTGATGGGGAACAGTTATCAGGAACTCCTCCAAATTTACTTCTCATAATGGAAACAGTTCCCAATGCCCATCTTTGAAAAGTTGGGTGTTCTTTCACTTATTCTAAAACTACGAATTAACTAAACTAGATACTAAAGTAAGTCTTATTACAAAAACACAGCAGATGACAAAGAACTTGTAAAAGGAACGGTTCATCCAATACTGAAATTCAGTTGGCTTTAACCAATTTTTTATTTTATTTTAACAAGTTCACTGACTTTGGGTGCCCTGGTATTTAAAAACTCTGCTTGATATGCTTTCTATCTGACTTTCATAGATTATGTGGGAGCAGAGTTCACACAGTACCAACAGAACTTGCAAATGCAACTGAATATACATCAAGGCTGTTGAAAATTAGCAGGCACTGAAACTGATGGTGACAGCATCAACTCTACAGTTAAAAGCTAATGGAAATTACGAAGAAAAAATATTATTCTTGTTTCATACCTTACTGAACATACAATCAATTGATCTGAAACAACAAATATTTGTGAAAACACAACATTAAATGTATTAATCATTTTTCTGTTATAAAATCAGAAAATATTATTTTTAAGTTTTGACATATTGTCCCTTCATATCTTTTTTGCTCTACTGTAAGTAAAGGTTAGTTTTCACGAACGTCAAATCTCACATTCAAACAGACAACATCTTGCATACAGGCAACTAACTTCACCTCTTTTTGCTTTGCAATTGCTGAAGAAATATCTCAAGTAAATTGACCAGCAAAACTGCAGTATTTGTCTTTTCATATAGATCAACATGCCTATTACCAATGCACCAATGGAAAATAAAATAATAATAGGCACACTGGAATTGGAAACTATACTAAAATGAGTAACATACAGCTGTGCTACCAAGTTCTACTCCAGCCCTCACACTGTTTTAAGGTATCCTTAGTTTCAATTACAGTAGTCAGCAAAAACTCAAGATCCATCAGATCCAGCCTTCCAAAACACTACCTTTCTCTCACACATACAGAGAGAAATGCTCCAGGAGATAAGCAGAATTAACAGGGACACAGAAGATGATTCCTCTTCTCTTCCCTACAGCCTGAGAAGTATGTGAAGAAGGAAAGATCTAGAAACAGGCTTATATAGAAAGCCCAATATACAACAACTTGAAAAGTTAAATGTGGTGATATGTGAAGATACAGAAAGCAAAATTAACACTACAGATCACAAGTTCACCAAGGCCTTACACATGGCTTGAAGTGTCAAATTTAACCTGGAAAGCTCATAATGATGGAAGTTTACATCACACACACAAAATACAATAGAAGTAGCTTACAGTCCTGCAAAAAAAAATAGCTGCCTTTGTGCTCCTTTCACTTTCTAGGTAACTTCTGAAAAGGCATCTAAACCCAATGTGTGATGCAATATAAAGAACTGTATTAGAAAGGCTAAGAATGGTGTGACTGGAGATAGAGCAGGAACAGGGCTCTCAAAAGGGCTTGTGGCACCCACGTTAGCAGGTCATCAACACCCCAGCACATCCTTCCCCCTGCAATTTCAGAAGACACCCAGCCCTGGAGACAAAGAACACTGCTGAACGTTGAGCCAAGCAGGGCAGACACAGACCACTGTCACCTCCAAAAGGGCACACAAAGGCATATCCAAAACCTGGAATGGTTGCCAACCTAGGAAGAGACCAGATAGCATAAGGACCTGCCAGCTGATGTGCCACGTCCTCTACCTGGGATCCGGGACTCAGCACCTGGACACGAGCAAGGCAGTGCCAGGCTGGTGGGCACGCAGCTCGAGCAGCCCTGCGATGGTGCCCGGCTACCCGACAGACATCGCAGGCACTGCACGCGTTCTGCCACTCGGGAGACTGCAAGCCTGAGTGAGTGTTTTGTTTCTCTTTACATTTTGAATAAAAATCACCTTCCTCCCCTATGAGGTTGCCCATGGATATTTGCTGCATTGTTGGAACGGCAGCAGAGAAAATAGGGAAGACTGTCTTACAGCTGAGCTTTCTATTCCATGTTACACACACCATAATAATGTGCTCCTTGAATACCATCCAGGCAAAGAAACATTCCTTCCTCCACATCCTGTTTTAGAAAAATCGTCCTTTTTTTTTTTTTTTTTTTTTTTTTCTTCTTTCTTTTAATCCTCCAAAGACTGTGCAGGCCCTCGCATCTTGCATTCACATAACCTCCAGCACGTCAGGACTGGTTTCAAACACTGCTCCTCTTCTACGTTTTTAAGAATGAATGTGGGAGGTGTTCAAGAGATACTCCAGACTCCTCACAGACTCGGTCAGAGTTTTTAGCCTTACTTGGCCCACGATTTTTGACACCCCTGAATGACAGGTCACCATTGTAAGATACAGAGCCTGTTCACGCAAACCTTCCCACTGCAGACTCACAGCACTGTTGGCAAGACTGTAAAGCAGTGTTTACAGTTGATCTGACATATACCAGCATAACAAATCCCTCTGATTTTTTTTTTTATTTTAATATACTATTTCTCACAGCTCCTGTGCATTCAAAGCAATTAAGTATTAACCCAAATGAATCTACTTACTGCTAAAATAGTGTTACTTTATGGGAAATTTGATTGCTTATTATTCTTTTAATGATAACATAAAGCAAAATTATCTTTACATGTAATACGCCAAAGGCAAATCCCCGGGTATATTTTAACAATTCATATATAGGCATGTATAAGTAGGAATATTCATCAGTAGCAGCACGCTGTGTCTTAATGCTATGTTGCTCATAAGCTGCTATTACTGTTACTACATGAATAATATAGCACATGAAATTGGTAAAACGTTCCTTAGGAAATTTTTCTCGTAAGTAACTACTGCTTTCAGAACTAGTTGTGACAAAAACACTTAGCTTATTTCTTTCGGGTTATTTCACCAGTTACAAACAACTACTTCATTATTAGACCATGTAAGATAACACGCCACACCTGCCCAAAATCTAAAGCTGTGCTTCTCATCGAACCACTTCAATTTTTTACTTTTACCTGACATGCATGTCAAAAACACAGTCACTCTGAATTCTATGACAAAATTGAGATTCAAAGCATTGTTATCAAATTTAGAATACAAGGAGTATCATGAAAGTAACAGTAATCCTTTGACTTTCAGTAAGAAGTGTCCTCCCTCTGGTTTCTGTATTTTTTTTTTGTTTGTTAATTTAAACAAAGTACCATTCTGTAGTACAAAATACTTCAAATAATTTTGAAAAATTCAGGGCATACCTGACCTGCATGTTACTAACATGGAAAGGAGAGCGGTTTTTAGTAACAGTTTCACGTGTTTCATCGTACATAAAATCCTCTTCACCTTATTCTCAACAACCACATCAATTCATAAGGCTACAATCGATTCCCCTATAATCTCTCCACCAAAACCTACTTTGCACTGTTGATTACTTGTATGCTCTGGTTTTGCCAAATGAAAGCCATCCCCTTTGGGCACTCCTGTGTCGGTATAACATAAAACCGCCAGAAAAAAAGACTTTAACTGCTCAGATTAGCAAAACCCACCCCGCGCACGGATTCCGTGAATAAGAACGAGGACAGAACAGCAGCTATAACCAGTGCCATGCTCGTAGCCGGAGATGAACAGACTAATTTCGGAGGATACCTTTCGGTTTCTCCCCTCCATGACCGCCGTCAGAGAGACGCTCCCGGCTTGTTCGCAGCTCGGCTGCTGCTGTGGGGGAAGGCCCAGGCTCTCCGCTCTCCCTCCCGTCCTCACCCCCAGCTCCGAAGTTACTCGGACTTTTCAGGGCGGCAGGCGGCTCAACCCGGCCCGCTTCCCGCTTCTCCCCGCCCCGCCCTCACCCGCGCGCCAGGCGGCGTCCCCCCCCCCACACGGCAGGCACCTCCTCACACACCCCCCGCACCCCGGGGGCCGCGCCGGCGGGTGAAGCGAGCCGGGCGGCCGCCCAGTCGCGCCCACCGGATCCGGCCCGGGGCGGCGGGCGGAGCGCGCCTCAGGGAGCGGCGGGCGCGAACGTGCCCGGGCCCAGCGCAAGCAGGGAGCGGGGCACCGGGCGGGGAAGCAGGTCATTGTTCACCCCGCCAGCACTCACCTGAGCGCGGCCGAGGCCGCGGGGCCGCGGCCGGCCCCAGCCCCTCCGCGTCTTCCCCTCACTCCGCCATCTTCCCCTCCTTACCTCGGCCGCCCGGCGGGGGGCTCGCAAGCGCCCGGCGACGCCGGACCCGCCCACTCGGCCGGGAGCCTATTGGGGCGCAGCTCCCATGCATCAGCCGCCCAGTTCTGGAGGGTGATTGGTCATCGGCGCCCGTCCATCACGGAGGCTGGCCTCCCGCCTCCACGGCTTTCTCTTGCGATTGGCCCCGGGGAGGGGCACGCGCCTGGAAGACGATTGGCTCGCGCCGCGCGGGCGGGGCTGGCCTGGGGCGAATCCTCCGGTGACCTCCGCGAGAATTTAAAGGGGCCGCGGGCGAAAGGGCGGGGTTGGGGGGGGCGGCGGCGGGAACGCCGGTCCCGCTCCACCGGAGGGGCTGCGGTACCCCCGGCCCGACGGGCCCCAGCCGCCCGCCCCGCGGGGAGCCGTTCCGCCAGCGGGCCCGGGGCCGCAGAGCCGTCACGGTGGGGAGGGCGGGTGTCCGGGTCATCCCCGTCCCCCCCAACCGGCCCGGGAGGGGTGGGGTGTTCCCCCGCCGAACCCCATGGCGTGGCCGTTGCTGCCCCCCGGGTGCTGCCGCCGCTCCCCCGTCCTCCATTTCACCGCGCAGCAACGGCCAACGCCACCACCCCCCCACCGCAAGCCCGGGTGCCTGTGACATCCCGGCTGCCTCGGCCCTGCCGCGGCTATCAAGGGACCGTGATTGCTCTCAATGACTGCTTTTATGCATTCTGACAGTTTTTTGTACCATCTGCAATTTTTTTATGGTTTTTTTTTTTTTTTTTTTTTTTAGCAGCGGTAATTTTACACTTCAAGCTGACGGGTGAATGTATTGAACAGTGTGAAGAGGAGTACTTACCCATTCAGAAAACTCTCGAGAAACACCCCCATTTAACCGTGATTCATCACAGACAACTACTACAAGCCATTGCAGTTGAAATCTTAAACCATTTAATGCACATTTTCTGCTATGTAGTGTTTTAATGTGGATCATCAGCTTAAATGAAACACTTCTGCCAACTTAACCGTTATATCCACACGCTATTTACAATCAAAGTTGTCATTTCAAAGAACTGAAAGCAGACTTTTTAAGTAATTTTCCATTGTAGAGTTATGAAAACTAACATTATTTTTACAAGTCAAATCCTGTATTCAGATTTGTTTTGCCCCGATCATGCCAAACTCAGGGGCCTACAGCTATTTAAGTCAACTCATTTGCCATCTTGAAGTATTGATTAGCCATCAAACCTAGTTCCACTTCCTGCAGTCTTCATAATCCTCTAACAGTTAATGAAAATTAATTGAAACCAGAGATTTCTGCAGCAAACCACCCAGAGAATCTCACCGTAACAAATTTGAGTCTGCAGATTTAAAACTAGACTTTTACTTGCCAGTAGAAAATGGTTCATCTGTAAATACCTACCCCTTATACTGCTTTTTCAAAAGACAAAGATGAAATACTAAGTAGCTCTGCCTCTCAGCTGATATTCTTATCCCTCTTCCAGACTTTAACCTTCACACATGACCTTTGTGCTCAAGAAGACTAAAGATAATTTCTATAAATAGATATGCTAAAAACATTACCTTTGTGGAAATCTGCACAGCTTAGTTTTCAACAAATTTAACATACATTTCTCAGCTTTGTAAAGCTTCCCTTACTGTCTACCACCCTTTAAGTTACATGGTAAACATGTAGATTTCAGAACACTGAGTAAGATACTCAGTGGTTTCCATATGATTTACCCAGCCAACAGCGAAATTCTGATAGTTTACTGCAACGAAGTTACTTGGTCTTTGATTTGGTTGTAGGTGGTTTTGTTTTGTGTTTGTGTTTTTTTTTGCCATATACCTATTAGAGTATTTGTGTTCACCTTAAAGCACATTAGCAAAAATACCTGATGTCTACGGTGGGGGTTTAGAAGGACAGACATCACAAACTAGCATTGGTATTATATACCCTCTAATTAGAACAATGCTACAACACTATGGGGGGGAAGCCTAGTTTGGAGCCATGGAGAGGTATAAAGCTCAAGTTGTTCTGGGATCCACAGCAAATTATTATGAGTGCATGTCCTCTTCTGGAGCTCATGTTTTGCACTAGTTTCATCCATTCTACCAGAATAAAGGATTATTAGTACCCCAAAACCAAACTCAGTTATAAGAAATTGATCTGCAAGGCCCACTAGCACCATTCTACTGGTATTTAACTCTTCGAGTCACAAAAGACTAGTCAATTACCATACAGGAATAGTTTTGGGCTTTTTTTTTTTTTTTTAATACAGTGGAAGGTTTATTTATGGATTGATAAATACAATATCCAGTCTCACTGGGACAATAAGGCACAACTGTAGGTTACAACTATATAGCCAGAAGAGAACAACACCTACTTTTAAGCAAATCACAAAGCCTACAAATAGGTTTTTTTACTTTTCAATCTGTTAACATTGTTACATTCCTATTTTACATGACAGTCATAAAACTATAATGTTTCTTTCTCATACAGAGTAGAGGTTTTTAATTTACATTTCTTTCTGGAATTGTGCTGCGCTCTGCAAAACAATCAAGTGCAACATTTCACTTTGTAATTCCTTAATTTAAAACAAATCAAGAATCCTTCAGAGACTTGCATGCTATTCTTTAACACAAGTGATCATTAAAGGAACTGAGAAAAGAGGAAATGCACGTTTGAGAGTAGTTTGAGACTGGTAAGTATTTATAGAAATGTTAACACATGACATAGAGAAGCAGTTATAACACTGATTCTTCAGTAAGGAAGCTCCCAGGGTTTTTTGGTTTTATTGTAAGGACCTCTCAGACTATAGGATGCTCCAGCTGCACTAGATGAGATAATGTGCCAATCTAGCCACAGAAAGTTATTTTACTATTGAACCTTCAATAATTTTGATCTCTTTAATTTACCAGCATTATATTTATGGTATTAATCACCTTACACTTGCTAAGAGGTTTGTGTAGAAATATAGTCTGAAATATTTGGTATAATATGCACTTCCCCAAATTATATTCTTACGTCAGAGCTTTCATAAACACAGCTACCACCCTCAACACCAATCTAGCAGATCAGGACTTCCATTCTGGAAAATGTAAATTAATTACTCATTATCCAGGCTACTATGATTGAAAAAAAAAAAAAAATTAAAAAATCAGTACTTTGTTTCATGACACTATTACCAGGGGGCAGTGACACAACTACAAATGCAGATTTTGGCATGACTAGTTTTCTTGCGTTATGTACACTTGTAAACAAGTTTACACTTTCAGAGGCAAAACCACCCTAATGAGAGGAAGGATCCTAGAGCAAAGCAACCTGGAGAGGGCACTTCATGGTCCACTGGCTGTCAAGTCTGCAAACTGTTCAAAGGAAAAACAAGTTTCTGCATCTGCTAGTGAAACAATTTGACTTAGTGAAGAATTCCTATTCCTTTTGAGGACACCACAGCCTGTCTCCACCACAGATTCTCCTACTGTCCCTGTGAATTCATCCCACAAAGAATAAAATCTATTCACAGTACTCTAAAGTACTCTAGGCTATCATCATGCATTCAGTGCTAGTGGTACAATGAAGCCATAGAAATTGACAAGTCCTCAAGTAAAAGGCAGATTTGGAAGCAGTAAAGAAACAAATCTGCATGTAAAGAGCCAAACGGAAAAAAAAAAAAAAAAAAAAAAAGGCAGCTGTAATGTGATGTTGCTACTGAAAGCAAAAGTGAATCATTATCGCTGCACTTAGTATTTGAGTAGATGCTTCTCTCCAAAGCGTTTTCAGAGGGCGCTTCTGTGGCATGTTCCCGTTTTTCCATTCTTAGATTCAGAGCTCAGAAGAATCAGTTTGTAGATTAAACAGCAGTATGTGAGGAGAGATATTTTTGCCGAAAGAGTAGTACAGAAGGAGACAAGGGAGAAAGGGTAAAAAAAAGATGGAAGGAAAAGATTTTAAAAAAATAATAAAAACGCTCCTTTCCAAGTTGTATGGCAGCCATTTCCCTTTGTTCCTGATGCACAGGGAATGTTCACATTGGTAGAACAAATCAGGGAGGGGTTGGAGATGCATTGTATATGCACCAGTAGCAATGCTCTGGGGGAAGGTGCTAAGGAAAAAATGAAGTTCTATTCATTATATAGTAGGAGTAGCAAGGAGTAGGTTCTCCATCCATCAGTGAAGAAATCGAATGCTCATTTTCTGCTCTACATCCACCTTCTCCAAAACCTGCAATAAAATTCAAAACCAGCTACTTAAGTTACTGTACATACTTCTCTCCTACAAGGCTTCTCACTCTAGTATAGAGGAAATGGGCAGGAACATCGGATGTCTTCAATTTGGTAAGCCAGTCTTTCATCTAGAGACTGCTATTTTTCATTCGGGACTACTATTTTCTTTCCCAGGAAACAAACTTCAGCCATTAAAGCTAGGAAAAAGGCTGTCAACCAAAATGTTAACTAATGCAGTTTCAGTCTGCCAACAGCCCAGCAAGTCTTGGATCCCCAAAATTAGATTGTGTGGAAATGCACGGCCAGTAAACAGAAGGGATAACAAAGTAGAGGAAGGGGTGTGAGCAGTCACTGAAGAGCTAAAATCAGGACCACAGCATCACTAACGCAGATCACTGTAAAAACTGGGGAGGCAACTTCATCCACTGAGGTACAAAGACATTAATCTGCTCCAGGCTGTTTCAGGCAGTGAACTTCAGTGTTCCAAGATTAGAGTAATTTAAGTTTGAAGAGACCTCTGGAGGGCTGTTGGTCCAACTCCCTCAACTCTTACTTAAAGCAAGGCCAACTAGATCAGGTTGCTCAGGGCCTTATCCAGTTAAGTTTTAAGTATCTTCAAGGAAGGAGGTTCTACAACTTCAGCAGCTATGATCATCCTCTTGTTAAAACATTTTCTTTATAGCTAACCAGAATTTCCCATGTTGGATCTTGTTTCTGTTGCCTCTTGCCCACCTCCAAGATGAGTCTGGTTCCTCTTGTCAATACCATCCCATTAGGTACTTGAAATTGTTCTACTATAGGACAACTTTCTCCATTAACTATATAATGGCTCCTTACTATTACTT